TCACAACAGCCACTTTTCAGGCTGCAAGAAACAGGTCAACAGTTTTTCAGCACAGGTAGGTCTAAGTTAAACGGTTCTACCTTAGTCCCATGAAATCATCCTTTGCAATCCCAGCTGCAAGTCATTAGCTCAGCTCCTGTGGCTTACAGACAAAAAGCAGAAGAATTGGTGAATAACAAAAACGTAGAAATGTGCAGTTGCATGGGGACATGGAGCAGAGAAAGATAAGAAAACTATCTGCACAGTCACTGTGCAGGTCCTGAGAGGGGTCCTGAAATCCAGATAAAAACCTTCTCTGGTCAAGTCACATAGCAGGGAAATGCAACACCTGGAGAAGCTGGGAACACAGGTACTGCCCCTGACTCTCATATCACCAGGACTGCATCCATTCTGGCTGTGGAGCTTGCATGAGCAGCACCAACTGCCTTCAGCCAGGTCACCTTTTTGGGGAGGCCAGCCAAGCACTCAGGATACCAACACCCCCAAGTGCTCTGTGAGAGCCTGAGAGGGTTACACACTACCAGGCAGGCCCCACCAGGACCTGTGTACACAGCCAGGTGTGGATGCCTGCAGCCAGCTGTGCTCTGGGCCACACACATCACAGTCACAGGGCAGTGTGGTGATGGGACGCCTGAAGGCAAGGAGGCACCCCATCACAGGCACAAGAAAGCTAAAGAATCCAGCCTCCAAGAAGGCCAGTGACTTGGACACCATCTACCTCCCAGAAGGGGTGGAAAGAGAAAAAGAGAAAAGGGCACAGAGCCTTGAGGGAGCTCTGATAAAGGTCTGGCAGGCACAGAGATAGTGGAGATGTGGTGACACTGACTCATACAATGTTAACTCATTGAAGCCCTGGAAACAACCCTGGGAGTTCAGATTTCATTGGCACTTTGCACAAGGCAGCTCAAGTCCCATTTTTAGTGCTAGATTTTGCCAGATCATGGCAAGAGTTTCAGCTGAGGCACCTGTTCTTGACAGAGCAGGTCTGAGAGTCTCCTGGGGAAGTCCTGTGGTGTCTCCCACTCGCTCTCACCAAGTGGCACTGCCACCAGGTCAGTCCCTTCAGATGTCCCACTGCCACATCCCGAGCTGCCACCTTCACCCTGCTGCTAACACTGCCAGGCATCTGGGGCCCACAGCCAGACGTCACTGCTCCCAGGAGGTCAAACTAGCAATCACAGCACATGTGCCCCTGGAGAGGACACTGTTGGGACAACTGATACGTGTGAAGCCAAGATATTCTCCAGCTTGAGAGACCAGGAGTGCAGAGCTGTTCTCCCAGGAGAAAACCAAGCTCCAGGCAAGATGAGGGACACAGATGAAATAAAATCAGGGCAGTCAGAGATAGAATAAGCCCTGTCCTAATGATGCAGTGAGAACAGAAGACTTAACAAGGTCCTGCTGAGTTACTGCTGCCCTTACCCATGTCATTGCTGCCTGCAGTCCTTGCAAGTTATTCCTTACACCAGCACATTACAGGGAAAAGACAGAAGCTTCACCATTAGGATGCACCAGACAGGAGGAAGGTAGAAGCAGTTTCCATCCCAACTTGTAGGTTATGGCTCCTACAGTGAACATTTGGAAAGACTGAGAGGCAAACAAGTCCTACCCCATTACCCCAGCAAGGCTTTCCTTACTTCTCTCCTGGGTAGCTCATCCACAGGATGACACCCAAGCCTTCTGGCAACTTCTTCCAGAGCATCTGTTGAGACCTTCTCCTCAGAAGAGAGTTGATTTCCTATACTTTGATTGCCCTCCTCTGTAGCACTCTACACATGGACCTCCTACCAGCTGCAGCAAGGTAAACACCTGATCCACCCTTTATGGGCCCTGCCCTGAGGCAGAGGAGACCAGCTTAGGGATACTATAAACCACCTCATGCTCCTCCACACCTAAGATGTCACCACTGAAGCAGCTGTCCCTGCTGTCACTGACTTGTGGGGCTCTCCATTTTATCCATTCATCCTCAAATGGGAAGAAATTGTACTTGGAGCTTTGCAGGCACTTGCCTGGAGTTAGAGAGGCAACTCTGGGCCTCAGTACTGCCTCGATGAAGCAGACCCAGATTCAGGCAGCAGCAGTCTCGAGCAGCAGCTCTGAGGAGTCTTTAAAGGTTGTTAACCTTAAAGATTCTCAGTTGTCTGCAAGCTCAGCTAATGCTCGGGCAGTGTCCTTGAGAAAAGCAGCCTGCAAGAGCTCCTACCCGCCTGTGTTCATTCTGAAAACAGGATAAAAACAGCATTGTGGCTGTGGCAACATGCTTGCCCTATATTTTTCAGCAGCAATTCTGAAAATGTTTGATCTCAATTTGGTTTGTGTTGAAGCAGATTGGAAAGCAACGGTTTGTACCCTCTCTGTTATTTGCAGAGCACATGTTAAGCAAAACCATACCCAGTTGCTCCCACAGCAAACCCTGCCACTCATTCTCCTGCAAGATGTGGCCAGCTGAATGCCAGTGCTGGCAGCCAGGCTGGGCTGGGACTGGCTGGGGCACAGCTTCTCCAGAGGTGGTGTCCACACTCTCAGCCTCAAGGCATTGCATAAGCATGAGTTTGGATCTAGATGTTCAAAAACTCACCTGTACTTGGGGCTCTCTATTGCCCTTCTGGCCTGGGCCCTTTGAGCACTCCTACTGCCAAATTTTCCCTTCATCAGGTATGCTAAGAAGCTTTATCTGTTTTTCTTATTACAAGGTGTGAGCCTTATGCAAAAGCATGACTCAGGAAGCTGGGCTTTACAAAGAAAACCTAGAACACTGCAACACCTGCAAGAAATGCAGTCACAGTTGGCAACACTAACATTATCCCCCTGCCCCCAGGTGTTTCACCTGCCTTAATGCACCCACTCTGGTGACTGGCATGTCCTTCCTGACCATCCCAAGAACAGGAGCTCCCAAAAATGCATTGCATACTCCATTAGCACTTTAACATAGGAATTATGGGAGTCCTCTGTTCATGTCTGACTAAAAAGACAATAGGCAGAAAGTTTGCATTAGCCACAGAAAGACCATATGGGCTGAAAACCCTCCCTGATTGCAGCAGCAGTGTGTGCAGCGTGTGCCAGAGGAGAGGAGCAGGACACTACTGGTGTTGCTGGTCCTGCAAACACAGAGAGCTAAGGATCCACTTCAGGGGACAATACAGTTAAAACCCAGGCTAGCTTCCCATGCTTCCTCCACACACAGTGAGTCATTTAACCCAAAATATAGGAGCACAGCTTAAAAGCCAGGCAAGAAAGATTTCAATACCACTGCCAGGAACAAAAATATACTGTAGCACAGACCTTATTTCCTGTGGTGGGTACCCCAGAACAGGGCAAAAAGCCTCCTCGCTCTCATCCCTTGAAGTTACACAGGGAGCAGAGAGAAGTACCGGCTTTCTACAGCACATGATTTTGCTCAGGAATCTCCATCCCAATAGCCAGAGCTCTTTTGAATGCACTTGTGTCTGAGAGGGTGCAGAGGGGAGGGTAACCCCAGAGCCTGTATCCAGCAGAAGAGCAGGGAGGGGCTGCCTCAATGCAAGTCTTCCAGCCTGAAAGCCTTTGATTAGAGAGTGAGCCACAGTCAAGGCTTCATTTTCTATAAGGGAATGTGGATGTGGGAATCATTCTCTGTTGCTATGATTGTCAACCAGCTCAGAGTGTTTGTTAGCTGGTTGTAGAAAAGGGGTTGAGTACTTTCTGTGGCTAATGCAAACTAATTTTTCCTACACTGAATATTCTACTTTTTCTAAAGTGGTATTTTCCACATAGTGGCTTGAGATTGAAGGCTTCTAGCATATGCCATATTCAATTATCTTATTACATATTGAGAACATCAGTGATTGGAGAAAGAAAAATAAAGATTGGTATAGACAGATTTATGAGATTTAAAATAAAAATGTGAGGTTTCTATTTCCAGGAATAAAAATAAAGCAAAATTTTAAAATACCACAGCTATGCTCTTCAATGGCCCGTACTCAGCTGCTCCTGCAGTCTACCAGAAAGGATAAATATGATTTGTGATCATTACATGTCTGTGGTAGAACAACAGACTTTTCATGCAGGGTTGCTACCTGGATCTTACTCTAGCAACTACAATCTCCTCCTTGCAGAGCCAAATTCAGGGTTCAGAAGGACAGATACAGCCAGTATCTGGCTGACCAGGAGCATGAAAATGCAGCATGGCTATGGGCTGGATTGTGCCCCCAAAAAACAAGCTTGAGGAACATGCCAGCAAAGGAAGGATGGGAACTACTTTGAAGTGGGTTTACTCTATAAAATGTTTGCATGAGAGAAATCATCCATGGGGAAGGAAAATCCTTCACATACATTTCTCCATCATCCCATCACTTCCTCCAGTCCATCCCTGCTGACCAAAGGCACCTTGCTGAAACCAGATTCACCCCTTCCTCTGTTTCCCTCCTGGTGAAGCCCAGCACCAGCCACGGCTACCACAGAATGTGCCATGCCAGGAATGTGCTGTGCAAGAGGCACCCAGTACCTGTGCAATGCCTTGCCGAGCTGTGGGCTCAGCCACTCTGGCAGCTGCCCCAGCTGCAACTGGGCTGAAGGCAAGGACAAAAGGGCCCAATTGTGACAAGACAGCAGCCCAAAACTAATATTCAGCTCCCCAAGGGGGTCGTGGAAGTGGAGCTGGGCAGTGGGCAAGTGGTTGCAAACATGCTCAGATGTCATTAAAAATTCAGCACAGAATTAAAAATTCAGTACATCTAACTTCTCGGGTGCAGCTAGGGGAAATACTCAGTGATGCTGCTCTGACACTGCAGAGGTTCTGCAGAAAAGATGCTCACCCTGAGCACAGGCAGCTCGATGAGGACAGAAAAACTGCCTCACTGAGTAGTACCCAAGGCTCGTCTACCCTTGTCCTGCCTCCAGCGATGGCCCCACGCATGACACTGAAGGCAGCTACAGCCACAGAGCTGGCACAACACACACAGAGCCATGCTGCCGCAGCTATCACCTCTCAGGCTACAACTGCCCCGGCCTCTGGGACTTACCATCCCATTGAATGAGCGTGTCTTCCATAAACCAAGTCGCTTGGGGTGGTTCTGAACTTACATCGACATTTCACACCTGGAGCATCCCGTGCCAAGGATTACCAGAGGCTTTCTCCCCAGTGCAGTTTAGGCACACTGCCCTGCACGCAGGAGCTGGACGACATGCTGCCCCCGTGACCTGGAACCACTCCATACACTTTTTGTGCGGGATTCAGGCACACCTGCTGGCCACCGCCAGCTTTGGACTCTGCTTGCCCGACTCCCGATCCCCCGGTGCCCCCCGTCCCACAGCCGGCCCATGCCCGTGCCCCGGGGGCGGCAGGCAGTCTGGGCCCGCAGTGTGTTGGCAGAAGCTGCCCGAGGGGTGTCCCCTGGCTCAAGGCAGGCGCACCCCGGACCCTCTGGGCCGCCCGGAGCCCCGGCGGGCAGCGCGGCCCCAGCGCCGCCGCGCTCCTCGGGCGCCGCCCCGCGGCCCGGCCCGGCACTGCCGCCACACGGCCGCGCCCGCCGCAGCCCGGGAGCGACGGCACGGGCACCTCGTCGGGCCCCATTTCACCCCGCTGCCGCCAAGGGAAGCCTCGAGGGGGCTGTATCGGCCTTCCGTGTCTCAGGCCCCACTGCCAAGAACTCCACTGAGGAACTGCTCTCACTTCACCCAAAATACCTGGGTTGTCTTACCCGCCAGCTTTCGCACCGTACCCCCATGCAGTTCCCACACCTGGCATTCCTCACAGATCCAGTGCAGTAACCACGCTGCCCCCCTCCCACGCCGTACCGCTTTACTGAACCCACACGAGATTTATCGGTACCATGAGAAGCCCCACCTTCAGAAACAGACTCATTCCATGAATTCTGGTCAGCAGCGTTCCGCCTAGTGGGCAAGAAAGTGCTATAACTTGCCAAGCAAAGAAACAAAGAGAAGTGACAAAGCCCTTCAAATTCAGGTGACTTAGTATTTGCCTGTTATTTTTACCTCCACAGAAAGCTCCACGAGTTATCAAACCACCTCCTTCCAGCATCCCCAAACCAAAGATGGATGAGTCTCTAGTCCTTGAAAATCTATTTACTGGAAACATAGCAGGTGCTGGACAGAAATATGAAGTACAAGAAGGGATGTCATAAGAATAAGGGCAACACAATAACAAAGTCTATAAAAAGCAAATTTTTTTTTCAGAATGCTAGCTTTGATGGTCCATAACATATTCAGAGGAAAGTAAGAAAACAAACAACAAACAAGTGACCCCCAGCCATCAAGCTTCTTCAAGAAGAGATCCAAATAGTCATACTACGGCACTCGTTCATAGATTTACAACCCAAGAAAAGAAAACTTTCCTTTATCCATGCCAGACTCCAGACCAGCAGGTTAGGTGACTTTGGCAGAGTGCTGCTTTTCAGCAGCACTTTGAATCATGTGGGCAGCCCACAGATGATGCTGACAGGATCTCTCTACACCCTTGAGAGTTCACACGCTTGGTTTTCTTGAATAACCACCACAAGCAGCTTAACTTGTCTCTTCAGTTAGATTCACCTCCCATTAGTGTCCCGCTGACTCCAACCTGCTCAACTGGGTTCTTAATACCTGACAGAGGCCCCTTTGGCATTGTACTACTGAGAGTGGCAGAGAGGAACAGGAGTTGTTCCAGTGACTACAGTGCCTCTGGGTTCGTCATCACAAGCAGAGCTCATATGGATTACAGTCTGGCAGCAAATTAATTTCTACAACCTATCTCAAATAGAAGACATCATTGGACACCATCCTCCTAGGACGCAAAAAAAAAAAAGCTACACAACCACCTTTTTCTATCCATACTTTATTGCAGGTGTACATATAATTATTTTTATTTTAAACAAGAAATTCCTTTCATGGAAAGGAGAAACTTTTACCATTAAAATAGAGTGATTATAACACGAGTATTTTACAAATATGTACAAATATTGGCAGCTAGTTTCTAACTGATAAATGTTTACACACTAACGTCTACCAAACTATCAAACCCAAAAATAAAAAGAGACCTTCTAAATCCAAATACAAACAAACAAATAAAAAAAATCTACTACTAGCAGAAACACGTGTGGGGTTTTTTTGATATGAATACAAAAAATTGCATAATAGATATTCACAGTGCTTGGAAGATATTCATTCTCAGTCTATACACAAAAGCGTCTGGTCTTCCCTTCATATGCATATATCACTTATAGTACTGGAGGAGTCTGCACACACCACTGAGAGAAGATGGCCAGACCTGTAGAATTTGCCTTCCCCACCAGCCATGAATAAATACAGGTACATACAAGGCAGTGGATGCTCATGCAAGTCAATTACACTGTTTTCAGGCATTGGTGTATTTTGTAACCAGTGGCAGCAGCATTACAGCACTTCACCAAATCCTTTGGAAGCCTGGTAACTGTAAAATGAGAATACCAAGCTGCCTGGTGGCAATAAACACTTCAGTGGTTAGGCTGAAGGAGGTGTGAGCGTGATTGTCTTTGAGACAAGTGTGCACACGGTGCACATGCATTTTATGACAGTTTTCCAAACAACTACGCGCACTGATTTTTGACCTTTTTGTCTTGTGAACGACCACTGCCAGAACCACAAGTAACCATAGGAGAGTTTAGCATGGCTGTTGCTCCAGACCCCACCCCCCCACTTTTTCCACAGACAGATGGGCATTGCTGCAGTAAGACCCACCGCTCCAGCTCTGCACTGGCTGCAAAAGCAAGGCTCTTGCACTGCTGCAAGGCTGCTCCCTGCAGTGCAGCCACTGGCCTCCTGGACCCTGGCTGTGCCCATCCCCCATGGCTTACAGCCAAACAGGACCCAGGTAACAGGGAGCAACAGACAGCGGGAGGCTTGACTGGACTGTTCAAGAGCAGGCAGCCAGATTTACTTTATCCATTTAGATCCATTTAGGAGAGTTTATTTTGGATGCAGTAAGCATACCTCAAGTACTTTGTAAAGGCATTTTGGCTTTGTTTGGAAGAAAGGAAAAGAGGCTACAGTGAACACACAGTTCCTAATTGTTCATTACAAAAAGAAAGAACAGCATGATCAAAGAGGGCACAGTCAATTAAGTCATGGCTGCAGTGAGTCTGTGCCCACCGTTCATTCCTCAAACGCACAGCTAGGGTTTAGTGCTGGATTCATCTCAGAGGAAGTACAGCCCCTGATGCCACTTCAGCAAATGCAGAGGCATCTGCATGCTCTGTCTCTACACCACACTTGCACAGAAATAGTGAGATGATGACAGCTTATGGGAACGCAATTTACCATACAACTACTAAGTTTGCAAGCCCACCATCAAAGCAGCAGCTCAAACCTTCCTCATCCTGGTCTGGCTTTCCTGCCCCTCCTCTGCACAACACACACTTCCTCAACCAGCAGAATAGCATCCCTTGGCTTTTAGAATTTGCCAAAACACACCTGCAAGGTTGTCAAAAGCTGGGCAGAGGTTACACATACCTTCAAGTACAAGCTTCCGAAATGCTGTGAATTGATGAGGGGAGGAGGTACTGGGGAAAGATAGGGGAGGAAATCAAACATATATTTATTTGTATCTAACAAGGTAGCAGGATATTTTCCACACCAAATGCCTGAATCAAGCGTCATTATTATTATTTTCCTAGTGAGAGCCAGCACAGCCAGCTCCACCACTCTCAAGATCACCAAACAAGTACCCTTAGTCTGGCACACAAACAGCCTACACTTCCACCATCATCAGCCCTGCAGCACCACACACACATATTTGCATGACCTATCCATGACTAAGTGGGACACAGTCACTCTGTCTGTCCTTACAAAGAAACTTTCTCTAGTCCATACTTGTCTTCTAAGCAGAGGAAAAAATTCTAAGGAACAGATTTATTAAAAACAACAACAAAACAAGAATAACATAAAAGTATGAATCAAAGTAAGGGGTGATCATGTCTGGACAAATTCTCCAGTCACACTCCTGTCTTCAAAAGCCAGTCAATTAACACTCTTAACTTGTCTTCTGTACTCTCAGAAGTAGCCAAGTCATTTGTTTTATCATCTCCCCATCTCCCCAAGGATATAAGCATTTATTTATCAATCTGCATCACAGCAATACTAGACAGCTGAGAGACAGTTCCATTTGTTGCAGTAAATAAAAAAAAAAAAGGCCGCACACTGTATTTGGCTGGATGCTTACAACAAAACAAAACAACAACAACAAAGAAAAGAGGAATAAACTCCTGGCAGAGCATGTCTTGCTCCCAGTGAAGCAAATAGGCAACTTGCATTCATTATAACAGAAACAGGCCAGACACTTCCATACACAGCCCTCCAAATGTGCTCAGAGTATATCCTGGCCTGGCAGCTGTTGGCAGTGTTGCAGCACCACAAACTCAAGACAGCCAAACTATCTGTACACTAGCATTAACAGACATGGACCACAAGAGAAAGGCAGGAAGATAAACTGACATAGACTTTAAATTTCTTTCTGATTAATCCATTTAGACAGAGTTTTCTTTACTAGCTCAGCATCAGTTTTGGTCCACTGTTTTTTGGTTTTTATGTTGGTTGTGTTACTGCTAATAGTGCAAGCCACTTCCATTTTCTGCTCAGACAGACACTTCCAATGTCAACGTTAAGTGCTACTACACTCGTTGATTTGCCCTGTAGTCAGGTCTGCAGAAGTGATGTCACTTCCTGATACGAAGTTGAATAACAAAACCGTTCACAATCTTCTGCAAGAACCAGAGTGACATCACACGTGTTAATGAGGTATATATTTCCATAATGAGCTGTTTCCTGGTATGGAAGAGCTCCAATCTCATTATACCACAAACTCCTCTGGGAGCTGATCCTCTCCCAGAAGATCTAAGGAGAGGCAGTTCATGGACCGCTTCCCGTAAAGGGCAGACTTGGTTTTGCAGTCCGCTGTGGAATAAACACAGCCATAGATAGACAGCTTATCCTCCAGGCTGCAGCCAAACGTGTAGCTGTGGGACGTGTCTGAAGACAGTGTGGCACTTAGTGGCGGGTGCTGGTGCTTATAAAGGCGGATGTCATCCAAACTCTGGCTGTGCTGGTCCATGCAGTTCCTGCTTTTGGGCGATCTGACCTGCCAGTTCCGCAAGACATACACGAATAAAAACAATGAGCTCATATACAGACTGAGGATGCTATGCATGCTACAAATTTTCCAAAATTGTTCTTCCATTCTTTCAAAAGAGCCCCACCAGCCTTCTGAAGGATGTTGGCTTAATGAAGAAACTGTGAACCATTAAAAAATTACAAGTGCATTAAGCTGCCTTATCATGTTGAGCCAGATTCTGATCTGTTTGCACTGTGTTCTCAGTGTCCAACACAATGGATGAAACACCTGACAGATACTGACACCTGAATGACCTGACATTTCCTGGCAGATCCATGCAGTCATCCTCAAATGGACAAACTGCACTTAAAACAAAACTACCCCAAGTGCTTCAACACACTGTGTTAAGTCTATTGAGCTGAAAGGAAGGTTCAAAAGGCAATGGTGCAAACCAATGGGTTACCGTGTCCAGTAATTGCAACAGAGTTTCACTACATAACATCATTCTGCAAACAGGAGCAACAAATCAGCAGTAATTCCTAGAGGCAGCATCTTGCTATACAAGCTGTAATGAGTCAGCCTCTGTGAAGGAATTATTGACCATTTGAGAACATTTCCAACTTTACCACTTGCTTCTTGTCTTGCTCTGCCTCTTTAATAGTCACCTCTTAAATGCTGATAATAAGGCTGATTTCAGGAGTATTCTTTTGCACCACAGAAAACGTCCTCCCAGTATCACTTCTCTCACTGCAATAGGAAGGGCATTAAAAAAACCACCCCGAAGGAAACCCTGTGCTGGCTCAGCTGTACTCCCAGAAACAGGAATATGTTGCATGGTTCTGTTAATGCTAAGGAAACCCTGCAGCATTTAGTAACATGGTCTTGTAAGAAAGGTTTTGGTGGTTTTGTAAGGAGGCACCTAATATTTGATGCATAAAAGTGGCAGCCAGGTCTTTGCAATTGTATAAAAGTGTTGATCAGAAACATTTTTATAAAACAGGTGCCTCCCAGTCAAGTAACAGAGTAAGCATGTGTTGGTAACAGCAGTAACTTTAAAAATATTATTTTAAGCAAGATGCCTCCTTCCAGCCTTGAGCTCTTAAGTCGTCAACTCAAATATAGGCATAAGTTCACTATGATTTGTACTGCATGGTCTTTAGCTTTGGAAAAAATAACCAAGATTTTATTCAAATCTACTATAGCACTTTACAGACTATTTTGGTGATAAGTGAAAATTTCTTATTACTTTTGACTGGGTCCAGGAAGAAACATGAAATACTAAAACAAAAAGTCCTAAGAAGTGATTGAAATCCTTGTTCAGATATTTACAATTCTTTCAGCAGATAACGCCAATTTGGATTCAGAGAGAAAAGAAAATGTGGAGGCTTTTTCTTTGTTTTCCAAAACTCCACAACATTTCTACCCCAGTGGATGCAGCTATACTTTGAAAAGAGGCCTTCAAAAGACATTTTAGTTAGACTTTTCCAAACAAAACTTATTAAACTATGTACTTTACTATACATAATTGCCCTTTCTCAAATGTTTGATGGAAAGAAAACTTCAACAACAAAGACTTCAGCACACACAGAGTATAATCACACAAATGATATAATAATTAGAGCTTGAACATCTGTTTTTGCCCCGATGTGATTTACTTCTGGCTTCAGGAGCAGGAAGATGATTAAGTTTGCAACCCACACCCAAACTGCATGGATTGTCTTTGCTCTGTAATCCATTGAAAATCTGGAAGTGGTTGATTTTCCATTTCCCATCCAGAAACCTAAGGTAGACAATAACTGGCTTGCAAGATTTCCTCGCTGATTGTTCCAAACCTCTCTATAGTATTCTGAACCCAATGCTGCTCTCATCCTATTCCTGAGAGCAGTAGCAGGCCAACAGCTGGTTTTGATTACACCATTTAAAAATGAGTCAAAGCCAGACCAATTCAGGTCACCTGATTTACAGCAGTCTCCATTACACTAGACCTTGGTTCAATGCCCACGCACATGCCAGACCCTCCTGCTGAGCACCCCCCTCCCTTACCTGGTGAAGGGATTCCACGCTTTGGCCTCTCATTTTGATTAGCGTGACTTGCACCACAGACAGCGATCCATGATTTATAGCTGTAAAGGAGAAGGAGAAAGGGAAAAGCAATGCAAGTTTGAGGTTTTGTGGGCTGCAGAAAAGGGAAGTTGTTCTCACAGGCCACATTCAATCCCTGCTATCCTCTAAATATAAATATGCATCAGTAAGCACCCTCAGTGCTCCAGGAATTTTGCTCACAAGTGCTCCTTTTCACCCCTAAAGATCAATATTTAAAAACTTTCAAGAAAACAGTTTCTCACCAACATGTCCCATTTTCACCCATCTTGTTTTACTATAAAGGCTGTATGTACATCTTAAGGCCAGACAGCTCATGTGTGATCCAGTTGTCTAGCATTCCCTGTATCACAAGCCACAAAACTTTACCTATGAATTCCTGTAACTAGCCCATTTTTCTGTGGTTGAACCCCTTGGCTGTTTTGTGGTAATCAAAATTTTAAAGCAAATTACTTCACTAAAAAAGATTGACCTCAGTTATCTTTTGGTCATTAACTGAATATAAACTTGGCACATTTGGATAAGGGAGACTTTGAGGAGCACAAAGAAGAGCAGCACTGTACAACATGGAATGCTGCCCTTTAACCTCTAGATGAGCTGACTGCAAATCCTGTTGCAGAAGGCAGTAAGTAGCACTGGCAGTTGTTTGGAAGAAGGTAACAGTTTTCTTAGGTCCCTCAGATTATGCCTGTTGCTAGAGCCTTAAAGAGCAGCACTGAGCAGTACCAGAATGCCATCTCACCTTGACAGCTAGCAGCATCTAGAGGCAGAGATTCAACAGATTCTCCCACAGTGGCCTCCTCTAACTGGTTTCCCTCTAAAGGTTCATCTACAGGCATCTCCTCTGGCTCATCTACTGCCAGCTCAAGCTCTAGGAGAAAGAGAGCAGCAGGAGAATGGTTAGCATTACACTTGTGCTCCAAGCTGCTGTACAGACTCTTACTCCCCATTCTCCTGCAGGAGAAGACAAAAGTGGGCTTAGAAGTCGCTCCACATCTCCAAATTCTTTACCATCATCCCGAGTGTCATCATCAGCCCGCTGTTTGCTGCCAATGTCAATGCCAGAGCTACCATAGCTGATGGTTGAGCTGCAAGATTTCTCTTTCCTATGCACCCGGTCAATGCTGAAGGGCTCATCCACCGACATTTCCACTGACACCCGGTGCCTGGAGTCAGCCTCGATGCCCGATGTGTGAGAGCTGCCATGGCTCCCTGTGGACTGGCGTGAGAGACGGTTATCCCTCTGGCTGCCCCCACTGCTCCCGCTGCCACGGGAATTCTTGTCACATGGGTCCAGGTCCATGTCTAGTGTGTCACTGATGTAGGACTCTCGGTAGCGCTTCTTCTCTGGGGAAGAAAGAAGAGAGAAACCAGTGGGAACTTTACGCAAGACCAAAGGAAGGGAAGCAAAAATATTCAGTAAGTTCTGGGATTGGCACAACCTCACAACTAAAGAACAAGTCCTGCAGCTACTGAACAAATAGAGGGACAGTTTTGTATTTTGTTTGCTCAGCAGATACTGGGATGCCCAGCTGGTTGTAAAAGAATTAGTCATATTCGAAGTAAATCAGCATGTTCTGAATTAGAACAGGCAGGTAGAGGCAGTTATGATACAGAAAACAGCAGGTTCCACAGTGAAGAAAATCATCATCATGGCTGGGCTTCGCGAACGAAGATTTGGGAAGGCTCTAACCACATTTGTTACAGGCATGTTAAAACAGTGAAGAAAAGGTCAACTAAAAACAAACAAACAAACAAACAAAGAGAGTGGCTTACTTAGCTAACTTAAGTGCTCAATCTTTAAAATCAGATGCATTGGCTCATTCTTGAAATAGTCACCAACATGTGGAATCAGCGAAGAACAGAATCCCCATAGCTGGTGTTTATTAATGATTTATTGTTTCTCCCACGGCTTATATGTGCTGAGGGTGGTCAAGAAGTCCATGAGACCCTAAGAGACACAAAACCACCTAGGGCCTTTTGCCCACAGGCACACATGATCAATGAGCCTTTCTACAGGTGACTCGCACATGCCAGTGTTTCTGCCTGCACAGCTCAAGGCCACTGTTGTTACCCCACTGAAGGGAAAAAGAAAGAACCAAGCTAGATGAGACCAAGGGCTGCCTTGCCCTGTACACTGATTCCATACAACCAGCGATCACCACTTCAGAGATTAATGTAAGCTCCTTAGAATTAGTTGAGATGAGCAAGAACCAGAAAAGTTTCTTCCTCAGATCTACCTAGAAGGAGTCAGCCTATGTCCTCGGACAAGAGGACCAGCTACTCTTTGACTGCTACTGACCTTGAAGGTAACAATACAAAGCTTACAATTCAGAGAAGACAAAGTATCAATGGACAATACAAGGAACAGCAGTCAGGAAAGAAATAGGGGAAAAAAAGCATTCAGGTGAAGGGTAGAGGGAAGGGGACACAATTGTATGAAAGAATTTAAATGTAATGCATTTAAATGTAATGCATTTAAAACAGTCACCAGGAAGAGAGAGGTGGGCTGAGAAGTTACAGGAAACCCAGCCTGCAGAGCTGGAAAATGAAAGGGGGTGAGCTGAGAGGTAATGAGGTGAATGAAGTTTGCCTGCAAGGATACTAGGGAGCATTTTTTTGTGTTCAAATCACCATTCCTACAGATACTCTACAGGAACCCCAACAGAAAAGACAAATTCTGGGAACCCTGATCTGCTCTCAGGCTGTTTCTGGCACCTGCAACTCCTAGCTTTTAACTGGATGACACTAAAGACTAAATTGTGTGCAGTGTTTAGTAAAGGGCACTAAAAAAATTAAGACACAGGCTCACAATTTGTGCTTCTGCTTGAACGCAAGATGATTTCATTCCAATGGAAAGCTTTTTATTTAAAATTATTTCCACTCAGAAGCATGCATCATATCCACAAATTGGAAACACAGAGAGTAAGGATCTACTTAAAAGGAGATATTCCCCCTCTACTACTCTCACACACCCATGCTTTCTGATCACAGTCTACAACGTGGGAGCCATAAACATTTCTCAGGAACAGACTAGAAACATATCTAACACCTCTGTTTCTCTCACTGGGTCCCTGATAAGTCAGAAACACCATTAATTAGATACAGAGCAGCCACCGTGAAGCAACAGCAGAACCTAATATGCTCTTCCCCTTACCAAAATCACCTGGCTGTTCCTTAACATACCTTCAGCCTCCTCCAGTTTTTGGATTTGCTTCAACACTGGTTGAATATTCAGAAAGAGCCGGTGACTGTTGCTGAGCAGCTGCAGCAAATGCCGTGACCTGAAGGGGCAGCCTGTGTAGTAAACCAGTTTCCTTGCAGAGGGCAAGCCATCTGGCTGGATCTCAAATTTTTTCCCCTGCATATAGAGGAGAGATGCCAGAGAAATGAGCAAAAGCATGTTTCCAGCCACACAGCTACCAGAGATAGCTGTGGTTTTGTGCATGCAAGTGACAGGACTTGACATGGCAGTGCAGGCAGGCTGACAGTTTTGCCACATCCCAGGTTGACAGCCACTGCCAGATGGCCTCCATTCCGTCATACTCACCAGAAAGGCCAGCTTCCCAATGTGCGACCAGGGAAAGTCATAGAGGAGCTGGCGAACGTGATTCACCTCCTGCAACACATCAAACTCAGAGTGACAAAGGGACTGGCAGGTACAGGGTGGAGTCAGCGATGTGCAAAGAATTTGCAAACAACCAAGAATTTGAGATATGTGGAGCCTGGTGTTCACAGGGGAGGCAGAGGAGCCACAGTGAGGGGGGAGGACAGAGAACTGGGCAGAGTTAATGCTACACCAGAAGGCTTTCACAGCAGTCTGTTACCTGATAGATGTGCATTCCTCTCAGGGTCAGGCCCAGGATAACTGTTGGTCGATCCTCCTTCTTATCCTTAAAGAATAGAAGAGCCTGGAGTCAAAGGTTAATCTACAAAGAACATGCCCCTGTTCTGGCACCTACTGCAGGAGAGGTAGCAGGACTCCTCATCAGGCAGATGCCATCAGCTCATTTGGTTTTTATTATGTTTGTAAAGAGCACCTTGCCTTGTTGACCCCTGAAATATCTACACCTTAAATCCCCTTGTGCTGGGAGACTCAGGAATTTCAGCAGCCCATGTCCTAGCTGCCCTGGACAGGGAATCCTGTAGCTTTAGTGATTTGAGGGCATGGACAATTACTGCTCTCAGAGGTACCTTGTAACCTCTCATACTGCCATGTGCTGTCTCTGCTATCCCCACAAACATGCACCATTCTCACTCCCCAGGTAACAGAGAGCCCAAAACAAAGGGACACCCATCCCCCCCTCCTTGCCATGGCACTGCTGTTCCCATCTAGGGACTTCGTAGATCTTAGGTGTCCCTTGGCTGGGGGGCTAATCAATACTCAGAGTTATGGGACTTTCCTTCTAACCTTTTAATCTGGGTTTTGAGAGCAGGTGGTTTTACATGTTTGCATCTGGGCTGGAATTCTACCTTGCTTTTAGCTCATGCTGTATCTTGCTATGACATACTTCGTCTCTGATAAGATTCCTCTGCTTGAAGACCAAAAAAATATCATAAACTAATTCTTTCAGCCTCTCCTAGCACAGCAGAGTTAGGGAAAGGAAGACACGTTTTTGTTAGGAGGAGAAGGAGGAAGAAAATTTTGGGGTAAAAATTTATGGGCTCACAGAACTCAAGCTTTGCATCACAACCATCTCTCCTTATCTGTCTTGCAAGATGCAAGCCTTGTGCCATTACATTGTCTTCTATTAGGCACAAGGAACAATCCAGGAATCCAAAACTGACATATAACTGAAAAAACACCAACCAGTCTGACATGGTTGGAGAAGGAAGGGGATAAGAAAGTCGGAATGACTCAGTGTCACCTTCACTTATTACATGACATTTGTGTGAAAGCTGGCTGACCTCTTGTCATTATTTTAATGAACTTCAACAAGAAAAAAAAAGGCTTCTCTGATTTTCCTGGTGCAATTCTACCAACAGGCATGGACAAAAATTAAGTTTTGCCATTCCTGTGGCCAGTTTCTTGGCCAAGAAACAAAACTAAATTCCAGCTATATCTGTATATTGGCAACGGATTTGTTTGTGGGGACAGGCCTCATTGGCTGAGCATTTTAGATTTGTTTGGCCTCTCTGAATCAGAGGCAACCATCCCTCAAAAAAACAGAAAGAGAAAAATGCAATGTTGTACTCAATTAATGATGCGAGAGAAGTTCAAAATAAGAAGCTCTTTGTTTAACCTTCTGCAGCCTGTAGAAGTGGACTGGCACATCTTCCAGTAGGCAAGACTCCTTAATGAACTTCAGAACTGCTTCCTTAGTGCTCAGCCCTTGCTGTTCTCGGTGCATCTCTGGGGCATGTTTCAAGATGTAGTCGCTCCCCCTCTTCGCAATTATCTAAACCACAAAGAAAACAAACAGGTCAGCAACTCTTCAGCGATCCACATGGGAGGCAGTTGTGATCAACAGCAAAGCAGAGACTGGAGGTGGAGGAGGCTCATATATTCCCTCAAGATGTTAGTCCACGTTCACTTCTACCTCCCTGGAGGATAAGCATTTAAACCAGCCCAGATGACACTGATGTCTCCAAACAGATCCTAGATGGCAAAATTGTAACAGACCAAGCCCACAGAGGTTGGGTCAGCTCTTCTCACTTTTAAGTATTGGAATTAGTTTTCCTAACTCTTGGCATCCATATAAATGTTTATGGGCAGATAACAAATATTGCTCTGCATGCCAACACAATCAGCAGCAACATCTCCAAACAGGACAGAAATACTAGGTTTTCCTTTTAAGACCTGAAACTACACATTAGGCTTATTTAGCATCTCCATTCTCAAAGGGACAGATAACACTATCTCAAGGTATTTTTTTTATCTATTGGGAGTGGTTGGCAGGCACGTGGCTCTACTAAGCAGTACAAAAATCTGCACTGGGCCTTTTGCTCCTGCCCTGTGGGTGCCCAGTTCCCCTGCTTGCACACATGCTCTCTCCATACAAGCCTACAGGGTGGCCCTGACCCCTCCCATGCCTGACTGGCCCCTTTCAGGCTGTAAACAGCAGTGACGGATAAGGGGGACATCGGCTGAATTCACTTCACAACATACCCGACCACTGGGGACATTTAAAACTAGATTGCACCAGGAACTTGAGAATATCCTGCTAGAAACAACCTGTCCTGGCCCAAAACAACCAGACTCCATCACCACCCAGTTCCCACTTCCATTTTATATTAAAACCCTTGTTTACTCTGTTCAGTAACACCTTTGCCCTCCTCTGCATGCCTTGACCGATTAGCTGCCCTCCCACGAGGAAGGCTGGCCCCGATGGAGGACAGCATCATTGCCATCAGCTGCAAAACGTCAGCAGAAAGAGACGTGCCAGCTCCACAGTTCAAAGCTGGGTGGGTCAGCCCAGGGCAGCACTGCCTCTCCTCACTTGCACGAGACTTAGGGCAGCCCTTGGCCAAATGATATGAAGCACGTGTTGGAGGAAGAGATTGCGTTGGAGGAGGAGGAGATCTCTCACTATCTCCCCATGGGAGCCCAGAGGCAGGGAGAGAAGCGTCCCCACGCCTGCCAGATTTCAGTGTTTATAATGATGTAATAAATCACCCACGTACTCGCTTGGGGTTGTGGCTCAGCACAGGTGAGCCAGGCTTTGCCCGGGCCTTTGCAGTGTTTGCCAAATGAGCAATAGTCTGTGATAAGCCCTTTAACTGCCTCAGAAACAGCACACACGAGACCCACCTTTTCCAGCACTTCATTAGCTACCTCCTGACAGGCAACCCATAACAGAGAATGGCATGGGATGAGGGCCTGTTGTCTAGGACAAAGGGGCATTTCTGCACAGCAAGCCAGGCAAGCCAGGATTTGTGCATAAAGGAGACTATCAGCCTTGCTTCCCCACAACAATCCCTGTCACTGTTCTAAACCTTCTTCCCAAGGCAGGTGACAGTGTTGTCTTTCAGGGGAGATGCAGCTTGCCTGGGACAGTGAACTAATAGAGCCTTAGCTAGTTTACCTTCATTTGACAACTAAATCAGCTCTTGGTTTGAAGGGCACAAGTCATGTGCACATGCTTATAAACAAACATGCAAACCCATTTCCAGGCCTTTCCCTTTCCTCTTACTGCAGTTGAGCCAGAGATTAATGACAAAGCAAGCACAAGAGGCACTGCACAGCAAACCCTTAGGGTTTGGATTTATTCATCCCTGAGGCGAGTATTATAGAGATGGGAACAAAGGACAATGGACTTGGCTTCCAGGCCTGGAGGTTTTCTGGAGAGCTTAGGTTGTGCAGATCTTGCTGATGTGCCACTACAAACGCACAACCCTTTAAGCCATAGAAGAATTAAACAAAGACAGCTGCACTGTCAGAGTTATTCATGTAACACCAGCACATTCCCTCACCAAGGAAGGATGTAGCACCCACCTCACTGATGAATGAGTCCCAGAAGAACAGGCACTTACCTCCAGTGGACAGACAGGAGATATCTCCCGAGGGAAACTCAGGATGATACTCTACCCCTCTGCCTGATCATTGCAGTGGGAGTTGGGGAAGTTGCATGGCTGCATTAGGTACTACCCTGACACAGCTCCTGCTGTGTGTACAATCTGTTGACAGAAATATTCCCCCCAAACTTACCCATTGTGGGAAATAAGCCTGAGGTTCAAAATATTTGCCAGCATGGACCTTCTCTCTGTAGTTGCCCAAATCTGCCTGTAAGCTGTAGGCAGCCAGCAAGAAGTAGATTTCTTCTTTGTGATTGCAATGAGACATAAGTACTTGCTCTTTGAGATGGCAGTAGTAGAGCTGCCGAGCCACCTTATCGCTGCAAAACACAAAGGCAAATTTACCTGAAGAAGAAAGTTCAGATAAGACCCCTCAAAAACATCATCCTGCAGAGAAGAGGGATTAAACTTTGACATGTCTGGTGTGTGCCAATGCCACCCTGATACCAGTTATGTGTGCGTAGGGAGCACCAAACCAAGATCAAGGTCTTCTCCCACTAAGTGTTGTACAAACATGGGAAATGGTAGCTTCTACCTTGAGAAGCATGAGATCTAAGAAGTTAGTGCAGAAGGTAGATGAAAGAAAAATCACGCCACACCTGTTTTGGAGACTGACTACAATCAAGCACTTCTGTTTCTCTGAAAAGCCTGTAGGAGCCAGGAGAGTCAACTCCCTTGAATTCCCAGTCCTGTTGCTTGCACACCTGTCCTCCTTTCCCCTCTAAACTTGGCACTGCTTTATTATTTCACCTTGCCTTAGGCTCAAGATACTTTTCAGCAGCTAATTCCCTGCAAGGTAGATCAGAAGGTAGAGGAGCCTTGGGTTTATTTTTGTCTTCTTCCTCAAGCTGCTAAATTGGGATGGTCTGATAAGGCATAATAACTGTAGTGCAGCATTGATAACCCACACAGCCCCTGCTCTTAGAGCTCATGGAAAGCAGGCTGCTGACATGTACATATAGGTGAGGTGCTGGGCACTACAGACTGCTTGTAAAAGTGTGTGTGCATAGTTTGAAGGGGCCAGGTAACTACCTCTGCATGGCTCCACACATCTCTCCAATTAAACTACTAGTGCAATAGAAAGTTGCTTGTCATGCTGAAGGACGTGTACGTCAAGAGCGGCAGAATAATATGTAATCTCCTTTTGTACATAAGAGCAAAATGAAATAAGAAGCACTTATCAGCCAAACAGAGTCCAGAAGAAAGACTCCCCTGTATCCCAGAAAGAAAGACTATGGAGAGAGAAAACACAGAAAACCACAAGCTTTGTTCAAGATGAGAAAAAAATGCCAAAAATTTGGTAAAGATTTTAATCCACCCAAATGATCCCAACTCTTGGCTTGCCCCAGGGTCAGAGCCACACCAGAAGTGCCGATGCAAATTAATTCTGTCAGTTGTTCATTTTCAACTACCTCATCCTTTGTTCTGTACCGTGGGTGAGGGTGGTGCTGTTTTGAGTGCAGTCCATATTCCATGTGAATGGACTCCAAATGCAAAACTCTCTAACTTATGAAGTAATTTCTTTTGTCCATTTACAAAGGTCCATTTCCAGGAGCAGACTGAACAGAGCACTGCTCAGATACAATAAGCATATCCAAAATTGTTAGCAAGTGCTTTAGAGTATAAGTAACTATTTTTGGTATATCCATCTGATGCTTTTCATACAACCAAAAGACACAAGCAAAAGAGTGCTAATCGTGTTTTGATAATGTCGTCATTCAACCTGCTCTCTAAACACAGATGGAAATGCAGTCACAATTTTCCTAGGGATATGGAGTATGCTTCAGGCAGAAAACATTCATAGCTGGGTGAGGAAGTCTGTGAAGGTCTTAAAAAAAAATTCTTAAACAGATTTTTTAAGGTTATTTCTGTGAGCTCACAGAGATGAGCTTAACAAAGAAACTTTATTTTTCTTGCCCTTTAAGAACACAATGACTAATTCAAAACACAGTAGCTACTGCAGAAGGGAACTTACCCTATTACTCTTCCATTTTCTACATAGTATTGTACTCTAAAGAACGCAACAAAAGGAGGGCTGAATTTCTCTGTTCCCTGGAGCAAAGACAGAAGACAAGTTAAATTATGAACAGCATCCAAAATTCCTGTTCCCCTGTCTGGTAATGTTCTCTTCTCCCAAGCTCACTACCCACACTGCTTTTCGTTTTCTACTCTTTGCTCTTGGCAAGATCTAGGGGGAAATTTGACTGTCTTGGAGGCTCACAACAATGAGGCATCACAAAACATTCAGACAGGCTGAATCACAAAATATCCTATGAACAGAAGATGATTTTTGGATAGGAGGGATGAGTCCCAGTGTAGCCTGGGGACACCCAGCCTGGCTCAGAGTTACCTAGCTCAGCACCTGGCAGCACCAGACGCATTAGTGCTGAAAACAGCAAGTCTAAATCGGCCTCCCTCAAAGCACCAGGCAAGGCAGCAGGGCAGCATGCCATGCTGGCATGGCTGTGGCGTTTACAGGGCACACCTAGGAGTAACCAGCCATCCCTGTGCTGCACCACATCACTTATCAAGGACACATGTGCTGCCTTGTTCAGCATTTACTGCCCGAGGCTGAGGCGCACCAGCCTGATATCAACTCTGAGCCTTTTGTTTGGCAGGGCTTGTGTTTAGTTATTCACATGTTCCTGCAGCCACAGACCAGAAGGCAATGTTGATGTCTGCTTCACACTGGGGATGTCTGTTAGAAGAAAGCCAGCACGAGTTCTGATGTTTTAACTACAGCCTATCTTTCAGACTTACAGCCCTGTTTAAAAAGGAGAAAAAAAAAAGAAGAAAAGGGGGAAAATAAAAGAGGAACATCTTACTACCTCATTCTTTCATCTTTCCTACTTTGCCACTTGACTGCTCACACAGGCAACTTTGCTCCTACAGGCAGTTCCAAGGTTTCGCTGGTTGGACCCATTTCACTGGGACAAGTTACGTGGCATGCTCGGCACATCTGATGCAGACAGCTTCTTGATCATCATGCAAATATTTCCATTTTATTTCTGGAACTTTTTTACTGTCACCCTATTTTATCAGCTGGACTTTCAGCTTTCCACCTGAAACCTCTTCATAGGAATTAATTCCTTGTCAACTAACCCAGTCTGATAGGCTAACTCCTCTCAGACTGCAGTACTGCCAACGGCAAGTCATTCAGTCTTTCATGATTCACATCACATCAGAGGTTCAACACTTATCCTGACTTGGAAAGTGCTGCAAGAATCCAACCACAAAGCAATTGCAAAGCATACCCCATCCCGAGGTGACCAAAAACACCTGCCTCTGCTGAAAGGATGGGCCTCTGCATGACTGTGGTTGTCTTTGAAGTAATTCTCACTCATTTGGGAAAAGCAGAGCACTTGTTTGGGGGTAAGAGAGATCTCCAACCTCACTAGTCATCTACAAATTTCTCTGAGCAGCAAAAATGGCAAGTGTGCCTACTCTGCAAAAGAAAACCCTTATGGAAGATGGAAAAAGTCATAATGAGCCAATTAAGGTATCTGAATCCAATTGCTTTGTTCTAGTCTATGGCTCCTCTAATAATGACATACACAAACAGGCATTATGATGTCTTAATGACTAGCGTTAAACAATTACATAGGCTTGTCTTTATTTCATGCAGCTTTTCCCTCCCTTGACAGGGCTGGCTAGTGTTAAAGAACTAGGACTCTTCTCAAACAAAATATCCTTCTTCTTCCTCCACTGTCCTTTTGCATGTACTCTAGAAGAGTCACAGCTCCAGTCATCTCCCTTTTATCAGGTTCAAGTCACAAAAAGTTTTAGGCTGTTTTGCTTAAGGATAACAATGAGGTCTCAAGATTAAGTTCTAGACTAAGTTCAAATGGAAAACTGACGCACTGACCCACTCCACTTCTGTAGCAGTAAAGTTGTTTAAGGGGCTGTTTCAACACTTTTAATTAATTTTACAGCTGTGCACAAGTCACTGCATATTGCTACTGAAAAGTATTCTGCAGACCATCTTCAAGAAATGCTTTATGGACCTTAGTTCAAGAGTTTTCATTTCACTGTTTAGTTCAATAAAAAAGCAGCAGCCTCCAAAATAAAACACCCTTCTTACTTTGGTGGTCTCTTTCTTCCACTCCTTTGAAAAGTATTTGCTAAGCTTCTGCTCCAGGTCCATAAAAACATATTCATTATCTGAAAGATAGTAGGAAAGGGATTTCATGTTAAATAATTTGAGATTTTTATTCATTAAATATTTAGATGACTCTACAAGTTATGTCCAAACAATACATTTTAAAACATAGCCGACCAGGGACTAGACAGGGCAGGAAAAAGAGAGTATTCTTAAGTACATACACTACTTCAGACAGTATGGAAGAAAGGTCAGTCATGCCTTGATTCAAGAGATGCTTGAGCTAAAGTTTCCCAAACACCTTGGCCAGAAATATAAAATTCCTACTTTATAATCCAGAAACCATTTACAAAAGGGAAACATCATCTTAGTAAGCTACTTGTGCTGTCAGTTTAGCATTCAGTTTTTTATTATTATGAAACAAGCAAATCCTACCCAAACTTCCTATTCTGCCATCATGTAGCACCATGCTCCAACATGGCATAAGTAATCGAACAGAGTGGGATTTGACAGGTTTCATCATCTACGTGTGAATTGGATCCTCTGAGAGAGTGAGAAATAGGAAGAACAAAGGGAAATGCCCTCCTCAGAAGGTCTTGTTTCTCCTGCTCACACCCAACTTCTTTCATATGGAAAAAAGATGAAGAAAAGGAAGAGAAATCTGGCCTCTCTCAAAAGACCAAAGGACCAGGGCTTGCTCTCCACCATAGTGAGGGTGAACAAGAATGGCACATCATCTTGAAAAAGCTTTGTGCTGCTTTCAAAGCTGATATTTTGTAACACTGTTTCCCAATTATCAAATATAAACAACTCAGCCAGTGAACAATTTTTTCCCGGGTCTTCAAGTTCTTAAAAAAAAAAAAAAACCTGATGGGTATTTTAAGCTTCAGTAGCAATGCCAGCTGAGCACATTCACCTGACAAGTCCCTCTACTCTTTGATCTTGCCCAGGACAGCATTTTGACAGGTAACATAAGTGCCAAGATGAAGAGCTTGTTTCTTAGACATGAAAGGTGCAGGGGAAAAAAAAAAAAAAAGAAAGAAGAGCCCTTCACAAAACAATCTGCCCCTGAAGACCAGCCTGGACTTCCAAACTTTGGCTTTTGCTTTCTGATGTCAAACAAAAAAAGAAAAGAAAAAAAAGAAAAAAAAAAAGATGAGAATAGAGGTAAAAATTTTGAAAATTTTCTAATGGAGATTTACAACCAAATGAGAGCCTGCACTCGTGCCTGTATGGTAGATGCAGGACTGGCAGCAGCCAGCGTCATAGCAGGTGTTGAAGGGGGCTCTAAGCTACCAAGCAGCCATCCTCCCAAAGCTTACAGGAGCAGATTTAGCAAATACGTTCTTTGCTAGCTTTCAAAAAACAAGCAAGCAAAACAACCCCCTATTGCCAACTCCTTCAACTCCCACCTCAAGGGAAAGAAACCACACCCGGCGCTATCCCAAACTGGTCCACATCCCACCCTAATAGGAAACCTTGTGTAAAATACAGTAACACTGGACATGAAGAAGACAATCCCCAAAAGTCCTGTTTCCATTTTTATCCTCTTTCCTGCATTGTACTGATTGAAGCTGTAATTTTAACACAATTACATTTCTGTTACAGAAACAGCTTAGTATTTAACAGCACTACTGAAACTGTATAGAATTTCTGAAAGTGTTGGTGGTGGGAATTTAAGTGCTGTAGCATACAAGATGATTTAAAAGTTGTTTGGCTATTTGGACAAGGAGAGGAAGAAATTTTATCATCACAGACGTTGCATCTTGTACCTGCCTCTTCACTTATGCCTGTAAGATAGGGTGGCAGGGGGGCTATGCTGGCCCCAGCCCTTACTTCTCTAAGTCCATTAAGATCAGATAATGCTGCCTTGAAGAGGCTGGTAAAAGTCCTAGTCAGTGAAAGAGAAGGGTTTGTTCATCTGTTAGACTTGCCTCTATCCCTTGTCAGCTGCCAAGCTGGTAGGCATCTCTCTGTAAAGCTTTTATCAAAAAGTAAGTAAAACTCGTTTAGGAAACAATTGCACAGCAAGTGGCAGGAGTGGGATAACATAAGCATGGCACCCCATCCCTCCCTGGGCTTTGGCAGTCCCAGGGCAGGGCACTTACTTCACTACAGTCTCCCACAACAGGCCCAGCGCTGCTCCTGATGGCACAGCACTGCTAGGTAAAGCCTGTATCGGCTCTGCCAGCACCGTGGTGTTCAGCTGCCATTCGTAAAGAGGGTAGAGAACCTGCACAGCTGTACCAAGTTGAGGGGTCAGTTTTCCTTTCTCACTCAGGAATGATCCCATGCACAGAGGTGTTTAGAGAAACAGGTGAATTACTCCTCAGCCCGAAGGGAAAGATAGTGATAGCAAGAGCAGTGGCATACCCTGAACCATCCCATCACAGCTGAATACTAGGTCAGAAAGGAAAAGTATGACAGAACAGTTACACTGTAATAAAGTAATTTGTTGTCAAAGTTACCCACACCCCACAGCCCCTATTTATCTGTCACATAACACAGGTTAGAGAGATCACTCTGTGAGGGCCCAGATGCCAAGCCTGAGGACTCCAGGTTATTATTAGGCTTACTGAGAGGTGTCCACAGACTCCAAGAATAAGCCAGGCTGCAGGAGGACACCCCAATGTATCAGCTCTCCCTGGGGGTCCCACTCCTCCCCAGCCCAGTCCAGCATCCTCCCTCTCGTCCAAGAATGCAGCACAGCATTCCTGTCTTAATGAAGTTAATATTGCTGGAATGTCAACCTGCAGTGTAAGCCTCCATCTACAAAAACAAAGAGGTATTCCCCTCTGCAGCCCTACTGGTTTGTGATTGTTTTGGGTTTTTTTTTCCTTTAACTGGATTAGTGATGAAACTTAAGAGATCTTTTGACAGATGCCAAAACTGTGTCTGGTTTGAAAACAAGCATCTCTAACAGATATGAGGGCACCAAACTGCAGCACCTCTGAGCAGTGCTGTAAAGGACAGTATAGAAATGCACAGATGGCCATCTTTCCAGGGAAGAATACGTTTGATCTGTCGATCCAAACAGGGCTGGATACTCAGCAGGTGCAAACTGCCATTGCTTCACTGGCCTCAGCTGAAGGACAACTGAAAGGTTCTAAGAACCATGCACACATGAAAGGTACTTAGAAGCATGCACACATGCGAATACACACTCATCCATCTGCAGACACCGAGTTTATCAATTTCATCTCAGCGCTGTCAGTGACCTTATGAAATACCTCAGCTTCTCTTACAAGGTTCCCTCATGTATGTGTGTACAGATACCAGACCTGACACAACACACCAGTGCACTGCACTGCAACCCCAAGAAATGTCTCTGGACAGCCAGCTAGTTAGCAGTAATGCAATTTACACATTTCTCCCAATTTCAGCTTTTAAGAGCTCTCAAATGAAATTGAAAGTTTATGCTGTAAAAATCACATTTCAAATTAAGGAGTTACCAGAAATGCAAACATTCACCACTCCTACTCTGCAAAATTAGCTTAGCACATTTACATATTTGAGAAAATGTAGGACAAGCATTGTTGCAAAGAAATAATGGGCCAGGTCTCCAGTCAATAAAAAAAGTGACACAGTTCCAGTGAGTGATGTACGTTTACAAGAGGCATTATTTACACTGCAGGAAAAATGGGAATAGAAAATGATGGCTGTAATACAGGGTCAAATCAGTTGAGTCATTGTTACTCTAAAAGCCATTATTTTGCATTAACCAGTTCCTCCTCATCTCATTTTTTACGAAAGGTAAGTTCTCTGCATAAAAGCTAAGTAATGGTGAATAACAAAAAACCTGTTCTCCTGTGCCCATTTTGGCTAGAAGCACTGAGAAATTCCACAGAGGTGTTCTACCAAGAGAAAAGCTTAGGCCCCGTAGGCAGCCAGGAACATCCCATTAACTAACTTGGTTATATTTTAGTAATAGAGCCAGACACTCCCAAAGAATAGGATTCAAATAAAATATAATTTAGTGCAAAGCCAAACTTCCACATAGCATGCATTTTCTGCCTTAAAGAGAAGGGAAAAAATTATCCTTAAGTTCTCCCAGACACTGCAAAAAGCCTCACGGTAACACCTTTATGTCCCTTGAGGTGCAACATGAAAGAGCAGAAGCAGGACAGAAGGATGCTGGGGTTAGGGGAGAGCTAAAGCTTAAACACTCCCCCTCCACCTCAAAAAAAATACCTCACAACACATACTGTAGAGCTCACATAACCTGTTTAGCTTCCCTGAATATTAGCATGGATTTTTTTTTTAATTGAAGAGCTGGCTACACACTCCTTTTTCATGTACAGCTCCCCAGGCTTCCGAGTGAGTGCTAGTGGTCTCGGAACATCACTATCCAAATGGCATCCGCTCCCATCACCTCTACACAACTTCTCGATGCTCCTGGGGTTACCTTTCAAGCCAACAGAAAGAAACATTGTCTACTCTCCAGTACCTGGTTGATTAGTTTACAAAGGGGTCTAAAAGAACTTGGCTCAGGATAACCTTGTGGTTTTAGCTTTAGTTGGAAATACAAGTAAAACAAGTGAAGAATCTCAACAGAGACTAGGAGTAAAGCAAGAGAGGTCCTGGTTGAGGTCTCTTTACCTGGGATGGACACAAGGCACATGGAGGTTATTATGAAAGGAGACAATATCAAGAAGCCTGAGGTCCTGCGGCTGCTAGGAACTGCTGAGGTCTGAACATAGACTGAGATAAAGGCTCAGTCATTCCTGGTAATGAAAAGGCACCGCAGGAATTTTATGTTGGCATCTTACAGTTAGTAACAAGGCAAGCCCAGGCACAGATTTTCAGATTTTGGCGGTGTCATGAGTGATTCTTCTGCACAAGAAGAGCTGCCGAACCATTTCTAGCACTGCTCATCCAGGAGCAAACAAACTCCTTGCAGTTCTCAGGCAGGAGAGCCCTTGGCTGGATGCTGTACTGATGCTGAAGGAGAAACAATTTACAGCAGGTACAGGCAAAAAAAAGTCTTCATAGAAAGAGACTGCATAAGTACTTTAAAGAAGTACTATATACTCTCTGAACAGCTGAACTCCCACAATTCCCTCTAGGTGGTACATTTCTGTACATGTTTTTCTTATCTTGCATTTAACTCATTCGAGGTATCAAAGTCACTGTAATAGAGCTGTACCTTAGGTTAGAATACAGACAAAATTCATAAAGGAGATGCAACTATCCAAGCAGATTTAAGAGGACAGGTAGAAGCAGGGAGAGGGGGGAAGGACTGGGGTGTAGAAATCATCAGAAGGTATTTTGGAGAATTTCTTTTGTCATCTGTCTCTTAAGAGACCCTTTGTTGTAAGAGACATCCACATAATATAAAGATAATATGGTGGCATATTCTGTCCATGAACTTCAGTTCTCGAGGATATACAGATGCAGAAGAATTAACTGGAGATAGAGTGGTCTTGGCAGAGTTAATCACTGAGCTCCTTGCTAAGTGTGTGCTGGGAAGCATGGGCCTAGCAAGGTGAACAGCCATAGCTGTAATAACCAAAGGATGATCCTCGAGGCAGGGGAGCTGAAGCAAAGGGATTTGGTTTTGATAGAAAGCCAGCATGACAAATCGATAAGAGGGCATGGAGAGACAGCAGCAGGGTATAGGAACTGCAGTCTTGCTCCTTCCCAGTCGAAGGTTTCCATCTGCTTGGGTCAAGCAAGGTTTGCTCCTAGAAAGGAAAACCCAACACTCAGGATCGAGGGATCTGTCTTATAACTACAAAGGAGGCCTGGCTGTTCTCTGTCTCCTGACAATCTGTTTTGTTTTAGAAGACTGAATGTGTCACTGCACACACTTTCTGATAACAAGAGAGAAACTTCCCACAGGGTACTAGATAAGGTTGACCCCTCAGGAGGATTTGCCACATAAGACCCAGTTGCTGATGCCTATGGAGCCAGGCTGAGCCTGGCAGGGCGGCAGGGTCTTTTACTGAGTAAACTACAAGGAAAAAATGCACTTTAGCAGCAGCAGCAGCACACAAGGTATAGCCTGCCTGACAATCCGTGACGAAACTAGAAGAGCAACACGTCCCAGGGTTTGTGCTGGTGTCGCCTCTTATTAATGTACACTCCTGAACTTTATATTCAAAGTGATCAACTTCTTATAGACAGAAGTTTTTTTCCCACCAAATATATTTGGTTGAAGTGGTTTTTCTCTTGAGAATAAAAGTTTAAGAGCAGAAGAGGCTAAAAATTCTGTCCTGCCACCAATACTGCGTCCTTTAATCCTGAGCCTTCCCTCAGCATCTGCAACAGTCAGAAGAGAAGGCAACAAATTTAGGCAATGAATGCTGGAAAACATGCTCCATGACCTAGAACTCAGATCTTACAGCATTCATGGTTTGCAGTTTGCCTGGTGCTTTGTGGTGGTGTTTTCATTTTTGCCACACTTATGGGTTAAACTTCTGTTCATGATTAAGGACCCCAACCCCTCACACACATACTTACTATGAGACCAAGTGAGCATTAGTGTATCTGTACGTCTGCAGGTCAAATGGGCTCCTAATCCAGATAATCCGTGCAGTGTGATTGGCTACAGTGCTGTAGAAATCCTTTAATTTTCATTCTCTTGCTACTGCTGACAGTCAGGGTTTTGTTGATAAATTAGCAGGAAAGTAATGGATGCAGGTGGATTAGAATACCTAGTTTTGCATGTGGCAGCATCAGACTCTCAAAAATAAATACACATTAAGAAAGCAGGAAATATATAATTATTAAAACAGAGCAGCTGTTTTTTAAAAAAATGGTGTCTTAGAGCTGCAGCATAGAGGCAAAAGCATGATACAGAAGAGGAATACTTTGTTCTCAAATGTGGATGATTCCTCTCCATTTTCTGGACATCTAACCCAGCCTTTCCTCACAGACCAGCCCCATGCCTCCCCTTCATAGCCTCTGTGGGATGTACACTGACTTGCTCCCCAGCCGAGGCAGTTGACTTAAGTAACCTCAAGACAACCCTGGGCAATGCAAAACTTACACAAGGCCTCCCCACAACCTGACCTGAGCGCTTCCCTTTCTTGAGGTGATAGCTTGTTATGAAGCCAAAAATCCCTGAAAAGCAGGTAATGCCCTAAAGGCTACTTCCAAATGTCAGATTCCGAGTGCTACCTTTGCTATAGAAACAAGACCTCAGCCACCATGGGCAGCAAGGGAGAAAATCGCCAGTCTGTTGGCCAAAACAAGATGGGGGGAGGAAATCAAGTTGTGGAACAGAAAAAGTATTTCCTCTGCTACAGCTCTACAGTAATAAACCTGGAGCTATTTTAAAAACAAAATAAAGGAAACCTTAAACTCCACCCCCCACCAGATTCCAGGCAACAGCTTATTGGACTTGGACAGACTAAAGTTGTGGACCAGAGAAAGCAATAAACTGAGCAGGTTTGCTCCCTCTCTCAAGAGCTTGCTGCAGCCTTCCTGATGGCTATGCCCATTCAGGCTGAGAAACTCACTGCTGACACTCTTCTGTCATCTGGCCCCAACAGTTTCTTAAAAAGGGGCACAAATAAAAACAAAATCTTCTTATCCAAAATTCTGGCACCTGCCTGGGTGGCAGAGGGAGATGGCTGTCAGGAGCATCCAGGGTGAGCATGAGAAGCCTTCAATTAAGCAGCTTTACAAACTGAGCTACAGCAAGCAGGAATGAGGAACAGCGAGGAAAACTAAAACAAAAAGAAAGGTTAATTCAGCCTCATGGACTCCTGCAACTCTTTTCCTTTACTTCTGTGTAGTGAGAAGATAGTTTCCATTTAAAGCTCTGGACAGTATACTTTAAGGTCTAGTCAACACAGCTTTATTATGCTTTTTGGGATAGAGTGGTTACACAGCATTTCCAACAGACTGAAAGAGATCTGCCATAATAGGGTATTTTGGGGTCAGAGCCCCTGTGTTTCACAGGGTGAAGGAAACTGGACCACACGACAGTTGGGAGGGAAGGAAAAAGCAGGGTACAGAAAATATGAAGCAAAAAACATGCGAAGGGAGGGAAAAAGTGAAAGAAATACAGGAAGAACCGGAGAAGAGTACCTAATTCAAAGAAAATAGGAATGAAATTGCCCTGTCTTACAGGGGAGGACAGGAGTTGGAGCTAAGATGTCCTCCAAGTGGAATAGGCAAAAACTGGTGTTAAAAAAATGAGGCAAAGGGGAGGACTCAGAGACACAGTTGTTTGTGAAAAAAGTTAAAAGCATTCAAGTGTTCCTCACATTAAAAAAAAATGAATTGGTTTAAAAACACAGGTATATTTGTTAGCTACTGGTTTAGTTATTTTGATGGAATCTCTTGGAGACTCTACAAACCTTATGGATATAAAAAGCTTATGTTGGTCTCAGTTTGACTGCTATATTCAAAAAAAGCAAAAATTCTTAAGAGAACGAGAGCAAAAAGGAAATGAGACCATTAAACTTAAAAAGCCCCTATTTTATCTCACATATTTGTAAGGGGGCAAAAGAAACCTTATTTAGAAGGACCCATAAAAGACTACTCTCATTTCAATGAAATATCTAGAATTACAGTAGTAAATAACATACTTGAGAAAAATTCTGGAGGAGAGAAAAGTCTTTCAGTGCTTTTGAAAATGTGGGGAGGCAGGCTAAGCAGGACAACAGATCCATTTCTAATTACTAAGAGTTGGAGGGGTGCCAGTGCTCACAGCATCCTAGAAATGTAATCTCTCATATCAGTTTGCTTCTTTAAGGCATCATCTTAACACAATTTCCTGGGCAATACTAAGCTGCAGGACCAAGCAGACTCGCCTTTAACCTACAGGCTGAGAAGTTTTGTATTTCCCATGTGGTATTTCAAAACCCAAGGTGTCCCACATGTGCATTCAGTCCCCTAAAATAATTTGAGTTTCCTCCCCAGTGCTACATTCTTCACGTGTGGCTTCAGAAGATAAGTAACACTTTCAGTCTCAAAGTCCTTTTTAAAATTCACCTCTTGTTCATTACTTACAGCATTATATATAGTGAAAAATATGTTGATTACCAACTCCTGCTACAGGAGAGAAAGCCCCTAAAGAGGTGGAACCTAAGAACAAAGGTGGAGAACAAAAGCCCCCCCTTCTCCCAATTTGTCTGCCCACATACCAAAGATCAAAAGAGCTCTGGGAAGCTTGTGCATAATCTACATACTTTGTGACCTTATTACAATCAAATTCCCCCTGCAGGCATGGCCGCTGTGTATATATGCACACACTGTAAATACACAAGTGAGTCTGTGGATGTTTGCCAAGTCACTTGCTCGTGCACTGAGTTTGCTTACTTTTAACAATGCTGAGGCCAAAGAAGTGAGGCTCTTTAATCTTCACTAAATCACAAACTTGCTGAAAGAGCTCCTGTCCAGTGGCTTTGACCTGAAAGACACAACAAATCCAACATCACAGATGGTTCATGCACCTGGATAGAGCAACTCTTCTTTACGTTGGCCAATACATTTTTGGGTACCCTAGTAAAAAAACCAAATACAACCACCCCACAGAACATGCTTTGTTTTCAGTATTATTACAGAATAATAATCAGTAATAAATACAGAAATGAAAATACTGCTCTCTTGCAGATTTTGTTTTGAGAAGTTAAGAGAAAAAAAATTGAAAATTTTCATTCAGATCTAGAAACAAAAGTACACAAAGAAACACAATACTGTGGTTTGAAATGAAATAGTTCGTAGGTTAGAGATGAGGTTGCTCTGTAACCCACACAGAAGAGCTTGTTCTGTCTCCTGCTGATTTCTGGTTACACAGTCATTAACATCTTCATCTTCTGCTGCTGTCACAAACAGCCTTTAAGCTCTTGCCCATTTCCATGCACATTGAGACTTTGCAATACCCCTGCCTCCCATAATGCTGTGCATGCACTGAGGAAGCGCTGGGAAAACAGAGCTGCCAGCACACGCTCCTGCAGGGGACCAGAGACTGGGCAGTACTTGTAACCATGGCACAGGCCATGGGAGCACCATGGCACTGCAGCATGGCTCCTGAGTAAATCTGCTAGCTGGGCTGCTTGGAGCACAGGCTCCTCCAGAAAGAGTGAGATTCTGGCTAACTGCATGTGCAGACCTGGATATGTACTATGACTGGAAGGTTCCCCCACTAAACATCCCCTCATCTATAGCCTCATTTCTCCCTGCCCCACTGCACCAACCCAGAAGCACCGACAGACCAGAGGTACAAACAGAAACCCCCCAACCCACAGAGGCCTAGGGGAAGGAGATCTGAGCAAAAGCAGATGGGGAGAGCAGAACAACACTGACAGACAACCTCAGCTAAGGCCACGGTGCAGCCAGCTGCAAAATGGGCCGGGCCCTCAATTTCATTACCCACTGCTCGATCATGCTGATCAGCAGCAGCAGGAGCAGCCATCCTGAGGGGTATAGCGCAGGGCTACCTTCAGAGAAACAAAGATGACAGGGCAGAAGTTGACTGCTTAACTCTCCTACAAACCAAACACCATCCTAATTCTTCAAACTCTTTTAGGGTAGGTGTGCCACACTCCTCAGAAAACGGCTTGCGCTCCCCTCCCTGCCCCAGGATGTACCATGTCACTAGACAAGGACAATGGGAAACAGGAGGTCATTTAAGTACTCATTTTCTTCTACTTGACAAGGCATCACTAGCCAGACGCTCACTATCTGTTTCATCAGGAGCTTTGAAGCCTGCACTACACCAATGCAAACACGTGTGTGCTTTGTGAAGGGAGGAGGTAGGGCACAGTTCCAATAAGACCCAAACCCACACCTGGGTCTTATCACAACTCTCCACATGAGACTGCACCGTTACAGTCTCACTCCTAAATGCAGTATTTGCTCAGCCATCAAGTACACACATTTGGAAGGGAAAGTTAGGCACAGATCAGTCTCCTTTCCCAAGAAAACAAGCTCTGAGCACGTTGTTCTACCTGGGAAGGACTTGCTAAGAAAGACCTACCTCTAGCCAGAATAGTTAATGGGCATACAAGAGTCACTGGCAGCACAGGACTGTCTCTCTAAATGCTATATTATGAGATGAATTTTCTAAATGGCATGCTTTCGCACCTAAGGAAAGAAAAACCTGCTTTATGATACTTAGTTCTAGGGAATAAGCACTTCAATGTTTTGTGACATTCAGCTCTAAACAGTGATTTAAGCAGATTTCTTGAACAGCAGGTATGTGACTACCACCTTGTCCGTTCTCCTCTTAGCACTTGCTTTCTGTACCAAGTTTTACTCCCAGCCTTCAAGGCTATGCAATACCAATTACATTTGAAATTGTTGTTCCCTCCTCCTGCTTTTCCTTCTGCTCAAAGCAACTAATATTTCCCTTTGCATTTTTCATCTGGACGCTTCTCTTTGGACTTTCCTCATTTGCATGAGATTCCTGTGCCAGCCTCCATCCCAGAAATGCCATGAATCATTCCTTCCACTGATACTCAGCATTGCCCCATGTCAAACTCAGGGCTTCTTTTCACATAAAATTTAGTCCGAAGTGAAGTCAAGTGCAAGTTTACAGAAGGCAACTGCTACTCCAAGGTCATTCTGTGTACATTCATATGCATTAGTTATCTATCTCTATTCTTCTTGGTCCATATGCTTTGAAACATCAGTTCTTCTGCTCACAGAACCACTGAAAGACTTCAGAGCTATGCTTGCCATTTACCAACATACAGGACCTCACCAGACTTCCTCCCCTCCAAAAATTTGTTCATGCTCCCACCCTTACTCTGTCAGCTAGGCAAGGTACAGCATCTGCTGTGCCTGCTCCTGAACTACCCAAACACAAGTGGAGTGGTTGCCTGCCCTGCTCCCCTCACTGGCAGCTGAACCTTTGCTAGCATACATCCCTCCTTCCTTCAGCTGCTACCATCCCAAAAAATTTTAAGAAATCTACTTGATATTGATCATAAAAACTAGTTGATATTGACCAACAGGTTCAAAAATGTTGATGAGATAAGCCACAATGCTGTCAAGACAAACAAAACTGAATGAATTGGATACCAGTACAAGATCTTTGGTACAACCGATATGACTTTTGGTTGCACCATTCTCACTCACAGCCTGCTCAAGCTCCTTTGGTGCTCACATGCCATCTCCCCACTGGGGCTGCCTGGAACAAGGCAGACTGCTTTGCTCTGTGCTCTGATGTCCATTCTCCTAAGCAGAAATCTCTCACTTTGCCTTGTCATCCTCAGGGCAGCCGGTCAGCTGCAGCACTCACTAGTGGGTGCCCACTAGAGGCACTGCTCTGCCTCCCCTCATGTTCACAGTTGGCCCCAGGAAGACAGTTTTCCTCCTCACTATCCCCTCAAATTCATTGTGCTTTCAGAAAGGTGGATGCCAAAGTTAATTAAGAGATACTTGATTTAGAAGGAAGAGAATTTAAAATGGCTCCTGCTCTTCTCTCTTCAACAACACTATCTGTGAAGGGCGTAAGACAAATTCATTTTAAAGAGCAGGCTTCAGTCTGTATGTGACCACATAAAACACATAGGTAAACTCTTATCTGGAAGGGTGGAATTTATATGGCAGAGGGGAGAGAGGAATTACCTGCATAAACACTGCGCTTATCAGGGGAAGGATCTATAATTTATTCTGCTGGAAGGATAACCATTCCTACCTACCTCACTGAGCTGCAAGCTTGTTTAGTATTTGCATTCCACTCTGAAGAGGTTAAAAGGCTTTGGAAATCTTTAGTAGTGGCATTATTATTCTAATAAATGCACAAAGTATCATCTGTGGTTGTGCTAATTAAATTTGGGTTCTACCAACATCACTAGAAAATTGCCTTGATGTTTCTTTAAAAAAGAAAGATCTCCCCAGCTGTGAAATCTTAATTTTTGTTGTTGTTTTGAAGGGGTATTGTGGTAAAGTCAGAAGCCAAATGAAAAGCTGTTTTTGGTGACTTGCCCAGCTGTAACAGGTCATGTTTCACTCTCTATGCAATTAGGACACAACTGTGTGTTGAGGTATCATGTTTTGGCCCAGGCAGCTATTCCCTCTCACATGCAGGCATCTCCAAGTACACACTTTCCCAACTTCCCAGCCACAAAAAAAAAGGGCAGCAGAAACCATGATGGTGCATGTCTTTAAAAAGGAATACAAAGGAGTGCTGTGGCAGGGATGCCTCTGTGGGACAAAATGGTGATGCTCAAGGCACTCTAGCTCTTAGGAGGGGCAGGCACTCAATGCAACACACCATTTCTTATGCTTATTAAATAACCTGGGGGTATTAAAAAAGACATGTAGATGTAGCATTTAGGGAGCTGGTTTAGTGGTGGACTTGGCAGTGCCATGTTTATGGTCAGACTCGATCTTAAGGGCCTTTCTCACTCTAAATTGATTTGATGATAAACTGCAGGTATTTGGGGTTTACCAGAGCACAAGCCAGTGGTGAAGGAACAGCTGCATGCTCAATCTGGGCACAGGCACAGAGAGAAGCAGTGACAATATCAGCCCTGCTGGCACACTGCCCTCCTGCATGCCAGTCTGCAGCTTCCCCACAGCAAGACAGCTCCACTATCTCACATCTTCAACCTCCCTGATAAAAGCTGTAAGAAGGTGAGATTTAGGGTCAGATGCAACAGACCATTACCCAGGCCTGTGCACCTGCCACCAGGAACTTAATTAAATCATCATTTTGTGGCTTGCACAAAAGCCAGCAGATTGCAGAAGCCTTCTGGGACAGTGGATGGGCTGGATTTGAACCAGTAACCTAGAAGCAGAGTGTCCCAGATTTTGCTGTTAAAGCTTTATTCCATCCAGCCCTTGAGGCTGTTTCAGTTAAGGACACTACACTTACGCACAGAAGGTAGGAAAATTCCGACACGGATTTTGAAGATTGGCACGCATAATTTCAAAAGCTGCTGTTTCAATCAAGTGCTTAAAATAACAGTTCACCTCAACTGTCTTCTCCCTCTCCTCATCCCGGGGGGGGGAAACCTACCCAAAACAAAAAAAATCTCCCCAGCTCACACACGAGTGCAAGCACACGCTCACAAGAGAGCACTTATCTTTGAGACTACCTTGTCCTCTGAATGTGAAGTGCCTCTTGTCAGCTGAGTTTCTCACAAGTTCAAGGAGCAGCCGGCAGTGCACAAAGAGGCACCGTGCTGTGGCAGACACTGTGCCACCCTGGACTGCCAGCTGATTCACCTTGTTCACCTTGTGCACACTCTGAGACATTCGAAGCAGAGATCAAAGAAGTGAAGCAACTTACCTCTAGTTTTTTGTGTGCACAGTACTCAAAGGAGGCAAAAAAAGCCCACCTTCAGTGGCTGTTTACTCTGCCTTGGAGGCTTTGAAGGGATCTGTGGGCTATCAAAACCAGTGATAGCTAAAATGCCAGAGTAAACAGTCATGTGTTGGGCACACTTGCCAAGTCATCAAGGCATTTCAGGTTCAATTTTTCAAAAACTGCTGGAGTATTATGAGTGGCAAAAACACTTAGAGATAATAAAAAGTAAATAACAACAGAAAAAAAGCAGAGGGGACCCCCCATCCTGTAACACAGTTGTGACTTTTAAGGAGTTCTGCAAATAAGCTGAAGCTGCCCAATTAGAAAATGGAGCACCAATTACCCTAAGCAGGCTAATAGCCTTTCGGTCAGCAGACCAGCACCAAGCTTTTGGGAGAACAATGGGAGCTAACAAAACTGAACTGTGGCCACAATGCAGTGACCTCCCAGTCTCCCTCCTGGCCACTCACCCCGACGGCTAGGCTGAGCTGCTCACGGGTGGGCAGGAAGACGCAGACACTCCGGATCTCTGGCTGCATCCTGCCTGTCAGCAGTGCCCTGCTCATGGTGGGCAACTCCACAGGGACCAGGGTCTCCTCTCCAGACGGGTCTCAGGCTCCCTTCATCCCATGCACCTGTTGAAAAGGTGAGAGCATCAGTGCCGTGCTTCTGTCGGCACTGGAAGCAGCTCACAGCATGCATGTGATGGGATGTTTTTCTTCTTGCTGTTTAAAAACAAACAAACAAAACAACAGTCATCCATTTTCCAGGGCCAGCCAACATTTCCACCAGCATCACAGCACAGACCAGGCAGCGTCAACCTTTAAAGAGCTTGAAAGTCCCAGGAGAGTGCCATAAAGCAATGAGGTCTCTCTGGAATAACAAACCAGACTCAAGGTTTCCAGACGCATGAAAATGATAAGGCAGGTGACTGCTTCCTGAAAACACCCATGACATGGGGGAGCATCCTGTTCTTCGACCAGGTACCTCACTCTCAGCCAAAGCAGAGATTTCAACGGGCTAGCAGGCATGCATCAGTGCAGAAGACTTCATCTGATCGGTCTTCCCCATCACTCCATCCCTAGTCCCTGGGAAACTGCTGTCTCAAATCCTCTATACCTCAACTCAGAAGAGGAGGTGGAACACAAACTCCTAAGGCTGAGTCACTGTCAAACACTTTTTGTGAGATAAGCACTACCAACCTCCTCTTGAGGGCTGAGCCCAGACTGCACGAGTATCTTAGAGCTGAAATGAAGATATTAACAGAAATAAGAGATGGAAGTTCTGTTAGCAGCCCTAAGTACGTAGCCAACATCATCTTCTCATTACAGCTAGGTTAGACACAGTCTCCTAAGCAATTTGTGACATTTTATGTACAGTCCTCTCCTCTCATATGCTCTCCAGCATTCCATTCAAGGAAGTATCCTGTGGCACCTGACAAATTCATTGGGAAAGGGAGAGGCTCCTCGAGAGTGGGTTAGGTAAGAACGGCAGCAGAGACCTGAGCCAGCAAGATATCAACCATGGGGTCCACTCCATTGCTGTGCAAGATCTGATGCAAGTCAAACCCCAACCACCCTGAACAAAGCCACCCCAGCATGATTCCCTTTCAACACCTGGACACTCATCACCACCACAGCAGAGGTGCTGCTGGCTGACATCTGCCCACAAATGCCCCCTGCATCCAGGGACAGGCACAGACCCCAGAAAGGGCAGCCAAATGCACTGGCAGTGCTACCCTCTCCCACAACCCACAGCACAGCCCACCTTCAGGGGACAGGCTGTGAAGGGAGGCATGGGCTTTTCCTTCACTCTCCACAATGGATTCAAAGATGAGGGATCATAAGCAGCAAGGAAGCAGGTAATATGCTAACACACAACATACATACGCATACACGTACATGCACGTATGCATTACACATAAATTTTAAAATCATTTTGTATTTAAAATCATGTTTGTCCTGGTTCAGAAGGAAAACACGGCAGAAACAAATTCTTGTGTGGGAGGTGGGAAAAGCAAACTGTCATGGGAAAACAAAGTACAGTACAGAAAACAGAACTTGGTTTTATGCCTCTCCCTTCAACTTCATGCTCAAGCCTTCTTTTTTTTTAAATCAAATACAGGAAAGATCTACAAGTGTCCTTTCACAAGTATAGAAGCTGTTCCATGCACCTCCTTCCCTGAGCCAGCATATATAATGCTTCTTAATACAGCAATTTTTGATTCAATTTATGTAGAGCATTCCTTATGAGACAGAAGTACACAAAAAAATTGCAGAAGAGGGGATTATTAAAGGCTATAATTATTACTTTTTTCAAAACTGGTATTTAGTTAAACAAGAAATAGGAGTTTTAAAAAGATTGCTCTAAATTATAAGCAAGTGACAAAAACACATTTGACTTTCTGGGACAGGTGACAGCTGTTATTAAATGAAATATTAAGAGAAAAACTCTGATTTATGTTCTCTTATTGATATAATTATACTGGCATGCTCTCTTAGGCTCTGGACTACACATTATTAATGGCTGTATATAAAGTACAGATGTCTACAGAATAACTTGAGGGTAACAAGTCACCATTATTATTGCCAGCTGATGTCATACATGCCATAAACTTTATCAACAGCATAAAGACCTCGGAAAATGAACTCAAGCTTTTCTACATAAGGAGGTTTACCTTAATTGTCAAACTGCTGCACTGGCCAGTACACATTCCCACTTGCAAAGGGAAATCACGGCCAGACACTCATGGGGCTCATACCAGAACTGAAAACAGGATCAAAACAGTGACCATGGAAAACATATGCACACAGTTTCCTGGGGACAACTGAAGAAACTGAATCCCACTTCCCCATAGCCTCTATAAAACAAAGCTTTTGGAAAACTTGTTCTCTGGTCTCATACCTGCTTTGTCCACTTCAATTGTTAAGAGGCCAGCTGTGGACCCTCGGAACAGGGAAGTGAGAAAAGCAGGAGAGAAGGTGTTTTTCTTCTTTTGTTTTAAAACAAATGAGCTTGTGGACCCTGCCACAACAGGTAAGACCTTAAAAAAGAAATGTCCTTAATCTGAAGGGGGAGGTCAAACACAAGCTCAGCTCAACCTTCTCTTCCTAGAGGTATGTTAGGATGTGATAAAACATAATGAATCATTAACTTGCTATTATTGTGTGTTTACACCTTTAAAAAAAAAAAAAAAAAGAGAAACTGCCCAATGAAAACAACTGGCCAGAAGGAATGCTCTTACTTAAACATACACAATTTCAGACTGCCCATATGCCATTCTTTTGTTTACCACTGATTCCAACCTCTTAACCTCAATTAAACCCTAAAAGCTCCAGCAAATGCACTGCAGATGAATTAATAAAAGCTGAAGTCAATCATCGGCCTCTGGGACACCCCACAGGTGGTTTGGTTTTGTTGTGTTGGGGTTTTTTTTCCAAACTAGCATCACTTCATGTTTTAGCTCCTGCAGAAGTACATTTCGAGACGTAATTGCTTGCTCAAAGGCCCAGCAAGTCTATCAATTACAACAGTCAAAAGCAGTATTTATTTGTATTCTTCTGGTATCAGACAGGGGGCTTATTAGTGCCCAAAGTGGTGGCACAGCTTATTTAGCAGTGTTTATTTTACCTAAACACACATGCAGCGGAGCTTTGGAAAACATGCCTGTCATTAATTTCAAGCCTTCTCTCGCTAAGCAGTTGAAACACAGCCATAAAAACTCAATTAAATCTTCCTCTCTTCTCTCCACAGACCCTCAGGTTGTCCCCCCGCACAGGGCCAGAACCTCAGCATTCACCGGGTCAAAGCAAGACTGGATGAGGTTTCCTCCAGCAAGACAGATAAGAGCAGCAAAGTCCTCCACAGGAGGAAGAAGAGGAGGAGAACAAGGAGAAAGGAACCTGTTTGCTTTGGATATCAGCAAGATGGCTCACAAAGCCACTTCATACCCCCTATATACACAATGACACAAGGATAACCTGCCATCACTGAATTTGGGGCCACACCACAGCCGACCTCTCTGGAAGGTCTCATCCAGACAGCATGTGGGTTCATGTAACCTTATGAACGTCACTGTATTTTACACATTATTTCATGGGACCACAGAGAATTGGGTCCTAATTCTGATTTCAGCCTTCAGGTACTGCCACAGCCACATCTCAAGGAGATAAAGGGAACAGATGAACGAGTCATCACCTACCAGGTCAGAATAGCAAAACAAGAAAAAACAACAGATAACTCCATGGTTCTCTCACAAACACCTTGAAACATGCTTTGTAAGGTTTATTACAGTAAAATACCTGCTTTTCCTAGAGCGGATAGAGAATGAGCACTGAGCATCTTCCTGATGAAACCTTACCACAGGGACCCTACAGCACCCCATCAAAAACTGTCCAGAAACATTAAGATTCTTCTTAACATTTTCCAGCCATTATCCAGAGATGTCTTAGGCTTCTAAGACAACTAGACTCCAGGCTGCAGTTTCACAATCAGCTTAGGCAGCTTTAATCAAGGCAGTCCCGCAGCAAGACAGACAGACAACTGCCTGGAAACAAATCTGCCCTTGGCAGCAACCCACATGTGGGCTACTTTGTACTCATGATGAAACACAGATTTAACACCAAGAAGCCCCCTCACCTTCCAGGTATTTTGTCCCCTCAGACACACACTGAAGGGCACCAGTACTATCTGCAAAACAGAGTAATAAAGAGCCTGAGTAAATAAAAGATGTCATGATGGCATATATTAGCCTTCCCAGCAACTTTAAGACCCCACCCACCTCTTTTGACTACCCCCTGCAATGATGAAAGTTTCTCTGGGAAGATGCATCAGTCAGGAGGGAGGGGGGAAAAAAGTTGCTTGTCAGGGCAGAAAACAAGACTGAAGCTAAACAGTTTTACATCATGGCTACAGATGATGTGACAAGTGACCAAGAGTCAAGACAACCAGGTCACATCCTGCAGCATATTCCCAGAAACACACTGACTTTTCAAATGCGTCTGTCTCAGCATCGTTCCAGGACTAGCATAACACATCCAAGGGCAAAGATGCCACAAGGAGGTAAGGTACCAAATTTGGTATCCACAAACCACTTGGGACACACACCTGCCTTCAAACACTGAGAGCTACTTAGTAGGAAGACCCTATTCAAAGCCACTGAACAAGGCACCTCCCAGTCACTTGAGTGCTCAGAAGGACTGGATCCCAGAACTGATGCACTTGCCTATGGACAGATGCAACACTGGCAGCAGGGACAATTGGCTTCAGCCTCCTAATGTGGGAGATACAATTGCAGCAAGGCTTCTGCATCTGCTAACCACAAGTAGGTTAGGTCTGAGCATGGTCCTCTTGCAGGGATGGGATATGGGCCTGGCTCCCACCTTTCCTTCAGGATTTTCAAGAGGTGCAATGCAAGATGCCTTCAAAAACTTCAGGGCTGTGAACCCAAGCAGGTGGGACAGATGGGGAAATCGCTGAGCATTGGTCTTAGGTACCAACCAACTTTTTTTTTTTTTCTTCCTGTACAAGCAGCACTCTCTGGTGACATTGAGCTTTAACAATAGCAAGGCAAATGCTTTCTCGTTAGTCTTCTTTGCAGGATTAGACACAGATCTTAGTTAGGCATGACTGCTCACACTCCCCACCTTTGTGCTATGAAGTTTTCCTGCCTCACATCAAGCAGTGCATGTGAGTGCTAGAACACAAAACATGCTCTTGAGCTCGTAACTCTTCTGCTCTGCATCCCCCACAATGTGGCCGTTGGAAAGAAGGGATCTCCCAAAATCCCTGGACACCCATTCCTGGGATGATGCTGCTATGCTACTCTGTAGGCTGCCCTAGTCCTTAAGCTCAAAGACAGGGACAACCCTCCTTACGTAGGGATGGTAGCATTCTCTGGTAGCCAAGTAAAAGTGACTCACGTTTTTGGGCACACTAACTAGTCCTCAAGGAGAGGAAAAAGGCTTACCAGAGGACAGAGCACCAAAGGAGGTGCTCCTGCAGAGCATGGAAGTGCAGGGGCAGGGCAGCACTGGCAGGACCACGGTGGGTGGCTGACACGCTTCCATCCAGCTCTCCCATGGGATGAAAAAAAGCTCCTCAGCAGTTTGCTCCCTTTGAGGACAGCCTAGCATGACTCACCTGAACTTAATATTTTCCTGAAACCAAAACTGAATTCAGGAATCCTTTGAGAGAAATAGACAAATGAGTATTAAAGACTCTAGGCAAAAAAGGACAAATTAGGATCTCACAGAGATTATGTTTTCCCATCACTTCCAAGTGATGGAAAGTGGCTTTGAATTTTTGTACACAAAAACAGGCAGCCTTTTAAAATATATTATTTTATCAGAAGTATATGCAGAACTTAGCAATGTAAATGTTTCAAAGAATGCCCAAATAGTAAAGTCTGCAGCTAGAGCATGCAATTCAGGTAAAAGTAGTAGTATGGATCCTATTGCATCTGACTACTGATATGTAGTTTCTCATCATCATGAATCTCTTTACTTCTGCATAACCTATTAATGGACTTGCCTATTGAATGCCAATCACTTATAAGACTTCCTCATACTTCATAAATCAAGCACAGTAATTGAAATGTAAGAGTAAGTAGCACTTTGAGGTATCAACTGGCCCAGGGAAATGCAGAAGCAGAAGAAAAAACAGCAAAAATACAGGATAGGGTGTGAGCCAGCCTCAGTATCCATTACACCTCACGTGGAGCAGCTGCATAGGAAGCCTGCTCAAAAGTGCCAAGCTCCATTTTCTCAGCTGGATCACCAACACAGCATGGCATGAGATCTTGAGAAGGTTAAGGGAAGTGAATTGCTTGAATAGCCATTCCGGAACAGCAAGCTTGCCTCGTCTCAGACACACAGACATGTCTCTTTTGAGATGGAGCCTTAGGGAAATCTCATTTAAGTGCACACATATGCAGAGCCAGGAGTGCTGTAAAGACAACGCCAGTAAGGTACAGTACAAAGAACACAAACAGAAGATACTTCAGTTTAGCACTCCAGTGCTTGGCAATTCTGCTACGTAGTGCAATCTTTAGTACAGAACATTCATCTTTTCTATCTATGGGAAACAGGAAAGCAAAAGTACAGACATAGTGCTGCTCCAAGTTCCTTAAAATAAGGGAAAGTGAGGTTTCCTTCACAGCCATTGCAACTGTTGGGAAGCTTAGGAAGAGCAGCGAGAGCAGCAGCAAGACCTGTCTCTCTACTGGCAACTCAGAAGAGAAGCACCTTTCTATATCATGCAAATCACAAATGCACGAGGTCTCCTGACCCAAAAGCCTATCAGTTAATTCTCCAACTGGAAACATACTCCTTTTTTTTTTTTAGTCTACCAAGGCTATAAACAGGGTATCTCCCAAGGGGTTCTAATATACTCTTGCCCCAAGTACAACAGCTGAGAGATAATCTTCTAAAAGCCTGTCTTTGCACAAGTTATTTCACAGTGACAGTATTTTTTTATACTTGACCTAGGCTGGACCGATTTGGAATGGATCTCCAAGACTCCAGAAGTATTTTGCAGAGCCGTCTAAAAAGTATAAATAAACTCTTCCTTCATTTTCTGTTCTCACCAAGGTCTTGTAATAGTTCTACAAGTAAGCAGATTATGAAGCCTTTATTTTAAAAAAAAAAAAAAAGTAATACCTTAAGTTACAGGACCAATAAAGACAGACACGCTTTTTTTATCACAATATATCACATAACAAACTCTTCTGAGCAGGAATAGCTTTACTACCAGCAATAACCAGTAAAAAAAATTGGCTTACTTCCCCAGAGGAAGGAGAAAGTCCACTGGTGATTTCATGGCTTTTGAATCACCACCTAAATATTCAGACTAACTAGGCAGCTTCTGCATCAGTTTGCTTCTTTTTCCCCCTGAAGTGCACAGCTAGTCTTGAACATATTCAGAGCAGAGAGGAATACTGATTTACATAAAGTGGACAAAAAGAATAGATAAAACTCCACCTGGAACACAGCTTGCCTCTATTACAAGTGTGAAAATGCCAATCTGCCAATACCTTGATAAAATTAACAGCAGGGTCTTTACGATTAGATGCAATTTCAGAGACTGCACACAGCACTGCCAGACATCAACTTCACCAAAGCAATGGGGAAATGGGAAGACACAGACCAAAAAGAAACAGAACAAAAAAAAAGCAAACCAGCTTTACAGAGAGTGCTGCATTTTTGAAGTGATACAGAATTGTGAAAAAGAGGAAATAGAGGGGAAAAAAAAGAAAAAGCAAGTATAAAAAATGGTTTAACAAGAAGCAAATTATCTCCTCCTGCAATTCTCCAGGGAGCAGGTCCTCCTTGTCAGAGGATTTTGTTTGGGCCAAGCCTACCGTCTGTCCATGCTCAGGTACCAGCCACACACGAAGAATTAAGGTATCACTGCTAAACACCAACAAGATAATCAAGGAGCAGTGCAGTATTACAGGGCTTTCTACAAGAAAAGAAGTGTAACCCTGGAGCACAGTAAGCATGCAAGTCATTTACATTGTCTTGTGTTGCAGGAACAGTGGGGCAAGGACTGTACTACAAAAGCTATCTGATACAGAGCTAACCACTGGATTCATCTGCTTTTTACCTGCAGCATTGGGAACAGCAGAGTGCTGTAGCCTGAAGGCACTATCAACTTTGCTTTTTATAAAAAAACAAACAAAAACAAACAAAAAAACTAACAAAAACACCACAAAAAAAATCACCCACAAAACCCCTAATGACAAGGCCCTTACCTGATATCTAAAAACTTCTCCGATTAAAAAAACACTTAGAATGGAAAACCACATGTAAATATAAATGGTGTTTTGTGTCACTGGTGTCTATCCCAGTTTATCATGCTCATATAAACAACAATAATAAAAATTCTAAAGGAAAAAAACCTCTCCAAAGAGCACAGACAGTATATTTTGGTAAATCACTGAAAAGAATCACTACAACTTATGTTCTTCAATAGCATTGTTTAGATTTATCTTTGCTTATATTTGTCTTACTCTTTTTTGTTTTATTCCCTTTTTTTTCCTTAAGGTGATCTCTGCAAGAAAACTTCCCCTGTTCTCCCCTCCTCCCTTTCGATTCCAGTCTCTTCTGATGTGGCATTCCTCATCTGAAGCCAAATCACTGACTACTACACAGACTGTCAACATTACCAGTGCTGAAAACAGAACGCTTTGATAAAGAATGTACAACAACTAAATGGAAGGAACAAACAACAGTGAGGCCCAGACACTGTTGTCATTCCAAGTTTACCACGAACAAAATAAAAATTAAAGAAGTTAAATAAATGAATGGGACACCAATGTCCGAACAGTTGTGGTTTGTTGCTTTGGTTTTGTTTTTTTTAACATTTTTGAAGTATTCATTGTCAGGGCCTGGGCATCATGGCAGTACTCTGAAGAAGGGACAAGGTTCAGAAAACACGTTAGTTTCCTGGTGTGGCGGAAAACCACAGATGTGCATTTTAAATGCCATAGGGGAGTTAATCTGAAAGCCTGTCACTGCCAAACAGCAGCAGAAACATCTCTTGATGCAGATGATGACGATTTCTCAGCACAGGAAACCCAGAGCCTTTCCCTGTAAATCGTTACCAAAAATTCCAAGAAGTGGAGAAACAAAAACGTATGGAGACTTTTTCACTTCTGACGCCCACTCACTTCTGTGCGCACACACCTGCTGGGACACTCATCTCCTCCCCTGTCCCGCCCAGAGCGGGCAGACCAAAGTCCCTGGTGGCTGTCAGACCACTCAGACCAGCCCCACGAGATGCCTCCAGCCCCTCGCCCCCGAGGCTGCCCCCGCGGAGGTGCCGGCCCAGTGTTGGACCCACGCGGCTCACCTGCCCCAGGTGCTGCAGCACGAGGGGACCCGCGGGGCCGTGGCCCTGTCACTCTCCCGCACCCGCGAGGCAGGTGGCAGCCATCCGAGCGCCAGCTGGGACGCGTCCCACACTCGTCGGCCCCGGTGCCTCCCGTCGCGCAGCCGGTGTACTGCTGGTCCCGCTCAAGCATCACCCCACCACCTAGCACCGGCCAGACCCACCGGCGGCGCCCAGTCCACGACACAGAGGGACTGATGAGTTGTCACGACTCCAAACTCCTCCAGAGCCCCGTCTCCTCCTGTCCTCAGTCTGTGCCTGCCCGCCCCCGCTGCCTCCGTTCGGGAGCCGCAGCCACCATCGCAAAGGGACACCCACGGCGGCGGCTGTGACGGGAAAATCCCCTGATAACGTAAGACAACTGGAGACCACTCCGGACGCAGCTCGCACCGCCCTTCAGCCGCAAAGTTGTAAATACACTTTCGCAGCCGCTGCCGCGCGTTAGGACCGACTGCCGCCCGGCGGAGCACGGAGCCTCCCCCGGCTCGGCGGGCAGCGCACATCCGTCCGAGCGCCCACGCCCGCACCATCCCCTCGCCCCGGGCGGCGGGCGCAGCCAGGTGCTCCGCGGGTCCCGCCGCCCGCAGCCGCACAGCGCCCACGGGCTCCACCGGGACCGCTCCCCGCACCCGGGACCCATCTCCGCCTCCTTTGTCCCCCGGCAGCTCACCGGGACGGCGCCCGCCTCCCTGCTGCCGCAGGGACCTCGGAGGGACATGGGCGCCCCAGGACCCCCCTGCGCCGCTGTCCCGACGGCGGAGCCCGTGCACTTACCGTGGGGTGGCCCCGGCCGCGAAGCTCCGCCGTCCCCTCCGATGCAGCATCCAGCGCACGCCGAAGCCCTGGAGGAGGACCAGCGGTGGGGCGGACCCAGGCGGGGCGGGACACGGGGAGGGGAAAAGAGAGGGCGGGGCGGGCGGTGTGTTTGTGTGTAGGGGCAGGCACGGGGTTAGCCCGCGTGTGGGCTGGTGACGGGGAGATGCTGGTGGGGCAGGCGCGAGGTTTGGAGGCGATGTTCTCGGCGGGTAATCAGTGCACCGCACTGACAGCGATGAAGTCTGCGTAGAGGAAATTGTAATTAAGAGTGATCACAGCAAGTCGCTGGAACTCGGTCCGGATGGCTCTGCCGCGGGCAGGTTGGCTGGGAGGTGCTGGCAGGGGGAGACGGCACAAAGCGTAAGAAGATACAATCGAAGACTTGGGATCAGATCTGGGAAAGCGAGGCGCCCTGAGGGGCACGGAAGTCACCGTGCTCGGGAAGGAGGTGCTTGTGCTGCACACATAGCATAAACCCTCTTGCTTCCCTTGCTTCCCTCCCTCTTCTGTGATATAATTTGTTTTTTTTAATGTAGTAATTTTCTGAAAGAAGGCTGACATCATCTCAAGTTCTGTAGTGTTGCTCCCTGTTCCTCACAAATAGGCCATAGCTCAATTTCCCCACATATCCAGTTGCATGTGAGAGTGCAGCCGGCATGGGAACTTGGATGGCAGGGGTCTGTAAGGGGAGCAGGTGGGAAGGCTTTCACACAGTGTTGCACTACTCTGTAGGAAAAGAGTTGAGATTTGCCCATGAGGGACGACAAGAGCAAGCCTGACTTGCTGGAATGATGTGGCCACCTGACAGAGTGAGGGGAAGCAGGGCACCAGATCACTTGTATTTGCTCCCAGTTTTAATTTTGCATTTTAAGTTGGACACGAGACTGGCTAAAATCTCAGCCTTGCTGGTGTGGCTGACAGGGACAACGACTTACCTTTGCCTCTTCCCAGCTGGACTGTAGCAGTGAGGCTGCTCTGTGAGCACGGGGTGGGGGGGCATCTCGTCACCAAGCCTTCTCTTCTCCCAACAGTCTTCTGGGAGAAAATACCGGTGTCTTAGTCATTATCTGATCAAATAGGTAGGCACCTCCTTTCAGGAATGGTTCCAGGGCTGTAGGTCCTAGATGAACAGAGTTGACTCCCAGTGGCCAAAGTTAAGTCTTTCATGGTTTGTCCTTTTGTTAAGTCCAACCTGATTTACGCAGTTACCCTCTCAGCATGCCAGCGGTTTTTTAATGCTATTCTGAGCTGCCTAACACATGGTTTCATGGGCAGCTGCGCTGTCATGACAGCTTCCCTCTGTCCATAGAAAGATGTCTCACTGTCCTCTTGTTTTTATTCCTTACTGTCTTTTGTCTCCTTCACTCCCTTTGCTCATGGTGGTAGCACCTTCTTTGAGCCAGTGCTGGAGCATTTCAGACTGCTAAACTGGTCAGTCTCACTAAATGGACTGAAAATTCCAGATTTTTTTGCTGGAAGAGTGGTCCGTCATATTGGTGAATTAGATTGTCTTATGGAGTGGTCCAGCCAGTGCTGGAGTTAGCATCTTGTAATAGCACTTACATTTCCTCACTTACTTTCTGGCATGGATTGCAGGATTAAATGCAAGGGCATAGAATCTAGTGCCCAAGTGTAGGCTCTGTTGTTGAACATGTTCTTATTTAACCTGCCCAGTACCATGTATAAAGCCTCCAGCAGAGCCAGCATAGTACTCTGGTCACAGCAGGACTTTCTGTCATGCTCTGACAGCTAGTGGAGAACTTGAAATGTTAGCAAACAGCTCTGAACAGTTGCTGCGTGCTTCTGGGTTTTGATCATTTGAAAAAGAAAATGTTAGGGTAGCTTAAAAACTCATGGCTCGAGTTTCTGTGATAGGGTCCTTTAGCTATGACAAGAGGAAAGCACCACATCTAGGCTGCTAAGACAGGGGTGTGCTTCGCGGCATGCCACATTTGCCTTCTGTCCTCATCATTTGCACCAGAAACCTTAGGGCTATTGCCTTCCCACAGAACCTGAGTTGGAGAGTAAGAAAAGTGTGGGTCATGTGCAGGTGATGCTCCCAGTGCAGACATGATCAGAAGGGAATATAGTACAGAATGTCAGGTCTGATTACCTTAATTGGAAGTATAGCAATTATCCTGCATAGCTGGTCTCGTAGGATTGGCAGACCTTGTGTGTCGCCCTGGAGAAAACAAACTGCATTTTGAGAAACATCAGAACTTCAGGAAAATGGAGATAATGTCAGCCTGTTTGTTTTGGAAGAAGACATCAAAGTGTTGGAGACTGAAGGTATCTGTGTTCCAAGGAAATACCGCTGCAAGTTTTCAAAGGGTCAGCTTCAGCTGTCCTTCTTGCAGTGCAGATAAGCAGTTTCATCCAGCTTGCTCTGTAGAGTGGAAGCTGGAGAGAAGGATTTGTGGAATGGTTATTATAAACCAGGTGTCTTTAGAAAATAGAGCCCCTTTTGTAAACTCTCATGCGGAGTTATGCTGGAGTCAGAGGGACCCTATGCAAAAATAAAAGTTTGCATAAGCAGATGTCTTTACTCATGGTCTTGTCTGCATTGCACATAGACATAAAGATTTTCTAGTGCAAAAGGGAAAGCTGGGGTTTGCCTTCTCTGTCTTAGAAAAAGTATCCCTCTCCTTTTCTTACAATAATTATCGCAATGTGTATAGGAGATAATTTTGTTGCTAGTATTTATTGTCTAGTTCACAGGCAGCACCTAAGCTTGGAGAGAAATGGGTTGTTTGTAGAGTTTGCAAACAAAAGGAGTTTTCACTAATGATGTCGGGGAGCTGAAGCTGGCTTCAAGCTGTTCAAGTCATGAGAGGATGACTCAGAAGTCAGAAATTTGAGGCATTCCTATGTCTAGCGTTTAATCAACAGGCAAAGCGTTGGGAGGTAAGCAGAGGAAATCAATGGCAAATCAAAGAAGAATAGGTCAGCTATTCATTAGAGAAAGGATTAATCTCAGGGATATTAACAGAAAGAAGGGCATGAAATGAATCCTAAAGAAAGTTTGAACTAACTGTGGCTGCCATAAGCTGGCAGTCAGGGAGCCTTAAAAAAATTACTTGACTATCTTGCATAAAAGGCCATTTGCAGAACTCTGCATTCTCAAAGTGAGATTTAACCAGCTGCACATGCTACAGAGACCTTCCAGCCATAATGCAGCTCTTGCAGGAGTAATAATTATTTGTGTATATTTGTCATTGTTTATACAGTCATCATAGATATTACACATGAAATGATAAAAATCTGCTTTCTGTTAGCATACATGCTGAAGCAAAATCTTATTTGGTGATGTTTTCAGTGCATGTTAGAGCTTGATTTTGCCGGCTCTTGCCTTGTTCCTAGAAAATCATTGATAACCTCAGTGGGACTATTCATCATCCTTGGGCTTTCATGTTTATAGCATGTTGCAAAAGCAGGTTTAATTTTGAGCTCTGGGGTAGTGATTTTTTTTTTTTTTAAATCTTTAAAATATCAAACTTATCTAAAATAGCGTGCAAACAATAAAAAAATACTTATAAAGTTGTAGGGTGGCTTACATGCTATTAACAGTATTGGTTACATTATTGGTAATAATTAGCCATTATTATACCAAAAGCCATATACAAGGTATAGGTATAATTGGTGAGGTTTAAGACCTCAGTTTACATTAAATAGAAATCAAATGTTTGTTGGTCTGACTGTTGACCACCTTACACTGCAAGTGAGGCCAAGGTACAGATCTGAAGCCATACAGTGCTTGTGGGCACTTGAGCGATGGCTCCTCTGCCAAGGATGTGCTATGTACTGCAAAGATGTGAGAGACTTGACTTTATACCCTATTTTCTCTGGTGCCATATATGGCACTGTGTATTATATCTTTCATTCCAGAGGATCCTGGTGTGCTTCTTTGATAAGTTTTTCATTTCACGTTAAAACAGAGACACCTTCAGGTAGTAAGGGAACAGCTGCATAACGCTCCATCAGCAACCTTTGGAAACCAGGTGGGGAATCTGGGTAGGGAGAATGTGTTCATAAATTAAATTTGGCCCTCGAGCACAGAGCCTGTAATTCGTACCCTTGGCAGAGTTTCTGTGGGACTGCATTTACTAAAATGGTCACAAACTTCATTTTACTTCTAAAGAGAAACAGAAAAACTCTCAGTAACACTAAACCATTTAGCATCATTATAGGCTCATGATTTTATTCTAACTCTGACCAAATTCCTGGGGCCCTTGGTTTCAAAATTTCCTAGCCCAAGCTCTAGTCAAGCGCAAACCTGCATTCATTACAGAGCCTCCTGAGACCCCAGCTAGTGGTGGCACAGTGCTGGCTATGAGTTTAAGTCACATTCTCTCTGACAGGACCCATTTGACATAGGTTTGCCTGTACAGGTACTCTGGCAGCTTGGTATCTGTAGCTAAATACACAAAGTGCATAAGGTGTTGGTATGTCCCTTTCTGGGGACAGGAGTTGTGTGCTGATTTCACCATACACTGCTGTTCAAATCGTCAAGGTTTGGTTACTTTCAGACAACTTTGAAACCATGCCAGAGCTGTTAAATCCCTGCCCAGGGTTTCTCAGTGCTTGTCATGTCTGTGCTAGGCTTCAATCACAATACTAAAATAATGTAATGTCCTCTGCGTGGCAAACATATTCATTCAAACATTGTCATTCACTGCTTAATAAAGAATTCTTTCCGACTGTCTGTTCCCTGCAAGTTTTCCTCTCTCAGCCCCTGAGGACAACAATCCTGCCAAAGCAGTACCTTGCAAAGGAGTAAATGGCCTCTGCTGTCTCTGAAGATGGGTTTCACAAGGGCTTTTCACTTCATTTTACTTCCTTTCAGCTATGTGCTTATTTTTGCTCTGATTAGAATTACTGTCTGTGATATAATTTTCCTATTTTTAACTTTTTCTCTCTAGCTGACTTACATATTTTTAATCTAAAATGAAGAATAACAGGACTAGATGATGGGGAAAGGTAGGTTTTGGTTACAAAAACTAATTAATTTTG